TGGCCCCGCAGCCCGTATCTGCCTCGTGAACCCGAGAGGAGTCGTGGGCTTGGACGCACTCCGATACTTCATGCTAAGAGGAGCCTCATCCGTGTCGGATTCCACCAGCCGATGCAAAGGGTACATCCGGCCAGGAATAAGAATGATGAATACAAGATTACTCTCTCTGGTTCCGAGTCGAAACTCGAGCTTCGCCTAGATCACATCATTATGTCACGTGATTCGTGACTAGGATCCCAGGATAGGATGGAGAATCACATTCCGTTTATTCATCGATGGAAATGAGCTCGTTCTATCAGGAGCCAGTGGACTCTTCCACTCAGTAGGAAGTACCAGGTTCCGAACCTTCACTTGTCTTCGGGGTGGGCTCGTAGTAGGTGACGACTTTTTCGGGTAATAGATCATCAATTGGGAATCTTCTGACGAGTAAGTCTGGATGGATATCTGGCCGATCGCATCGAATTCTCCACGAGATCTTCCTCTCGGTCGACCCACTACTCCCACAGGGTGATGATGGCCTGATCGGTTGGGTGGTCTTCGTCGAAAATATTGTGCCGTACCGCAGCTGAAATATTGCCAGAACAGGGAGTTTAGCGAATGAGAAGAAGGACGAGAGCTGTTGCGGAGCAGTATTCGACGCTCCACTGATCTACCTCCTCCAGCCTTCTACTTCACACGATCGATGAACATCTCAGGAGTGATCAATCCGGCATCCAGACGCTCCCAGTTCCCTACAATCGTTCGATTGTTCATCCTGGTCGCGCTCGAGAGCTCCGAGCGGATATTGGAAACCCCATCGAGTGCAATCAGTTGATCGACGGCTACATCTTGAGCTATGCCACAGAAGGTGGCTGGACGATGATGAATCAGATATAATCTCAATCAGCGGACTTGTAGAACTATAGAAAGCAGAGATCTTCCCCGGAGTCCTTCGAGGCTTGGCACGAGACTCACAGGTTAAATTCCAAATCGCACCGTGAGCCCCTACCTTCCGATTCCCGATCAAGGAGTTGCTTGACTCCTGTGCGTTGTAAGTCCGACAGTTCGTTATGAAGAGAGAGAGACTGGCCGGACCAACGTTCTCGAGCTACTGTAGGCGTATGTAGTCTAGGAACGGCTGAATTGTGTGAATGAAGGCGAGCATTGACGAGTTATCCACGACAACGATCACCATTACGACACGACAGATGATCTTATTATGATGACAGAGCATATTTACCTCTCCGAAGACACCATGTCTCTGCTCATCAAAGTAGTCGAGGTTGTCAACGGGGTCATTTGTGACAAAGACGAAAGACCTTTCCAAGACATCATGATTACACACACTGTGATCCTGGACGATCCTTTCGCAGAGCCTGAGAACTTGGAATATCCGGCATCCCCCGAAGTTACCCTCGAGATGCTGAAATCCGATCGTATCGCCTGTTATGAAGACATCGCCGAATATGAAGGCCGCACAGCAGAAGAGATCGAAGAGGCGTTGAAGGAGAAGGAAGCGAAAGCTCGAGCGACAGTCTTGGAAATTATCGGGGATCTCCCAGACGCGGACATGGCACCTCCGGAGAATGTTCTCTTCGTCTGCAAACTCAACCCGGTGACGAACGATGACGATCTCGAGCTGATCTTCTCGCGTTTCGGAGAAATCAGAGGTTGTGAAATTATCCGCGACAGGAAAACGGGGGAGAGTCTTCAGTACGCCTTCATCGAATTCGCCAACAAGGAGTCTTGTGAGCACGCTTATTTCAAGATGGATAATGTTCTCATTGACGACAGAAGAATCCACGTCGACTTCTCTCAATCGGTCGCCAAAGTCAAATGGAAAGGGAAAGGGCGAGGAGTCAAGGGAGACTGGTCAGATGCGAGGAAGTCGCAGAAACGGGAGAGATCGAGGAGCCCCGACAACCGACATCGATCCCACAGAAAGACGAGTCACAAGTCAGAACTGTGCACCGTAGGGCTTTCGGGGGCGACGGGCGAAAAAACAGGCGGCGGCGGACGCCGTGGCGATTTTCGGCGGTCCGATAGACCCACGTCGAGCCGCGAAAAGGGTTTTCGCACCCAGATTTGAAATAAAAGAGTAAGCTCCAGTATTTGAGAACACAACTTGCTCCTTTCATTACTAAGTGAGGAAAACTCTGAAAACTCCCTATAGTCATGCATGAATAGAGTTTGAGTCATATTCGACGGATCCATCGAGCAGCTTTTTTCTCTCATAACGTTCCCCGCGGATGAGAATCTTCTTTCGGCCTCGGCCGACGTGCCTGGAATTGACAAGACGATTCGCGCGAGCTTCGACACATTAGGAAATACTGTGACGTTCTCCTGCCACCATTGCAGAATTTTTTGCTCGAGAAGCGGTGTACTTCGTCACTAGGGAAGATCTTTAGTGCTTGTTGAGCCGTCAGAGTCCGGCGAGTCAGGCGTCAGCCCTCTCCCCACTTCCTCCGTTTACTCTCACCCCTTTATGTCGGTGATCCGGAATGGATTCGAAGAATGAAGCAATCCGATTGAAGATACTCCGAGAGCGCGGTGTTCAGTTCTCCTCCTATTTATTACGTATTTGTGCCTCCGGAGCTGGGCCATCCGAGAGCGACCAGCATCCCCTCCCGTCCGGGTTTTCACAGGTTCCCGTCACAACATAACCGGCGACGTGGAAGTGAACGAATCCGGCTGGCGCGAATTCGCGAACGATCTCACGTGGACAAAGGTGACAAGTGTTGTTCAGGTGAACTTCAAGTGAACTCGAACGTGCGAAGTGAACCCCACCCCGGACCACAAAACAGAGAGGTCCAACTATGGCGAAATACTCAGGAGAAGAGATGCAGGGAATTCTGCAGAAGCCCAAAGAATCCTGGTCAACGGCATCTCATTCCAAGCACCCCGCTCCATCCATTTCCAGGAATTTCGAGTACAAACTCGACTCGTTCTAGATCCTAGAATTCCAATTCGATGCAGAGCTTGATCTGACGTTCGAAAATTGGTTTGAACGCTATCAAAGAATCATCGAAGCCGAAAACAGTCCATTCGGCGACAGCGAAGACCGAGCACGGTTTATCGTCTCATAACTGAGAAAGACAGGGTACGGGAAATTCGCCAAACGAATTATTCCAAAGAAGGTGAGCGAATTATCCTACGACTCCCTCATCGACGAGCCGACAACCTTCTTTGATCAACCTACGTCTCTTTTCCGGAGAAGACTCAAGTTGTTCGACCCGAACCAAGAGTTCACGGACCTCGATCACATGGCAGGCCAGATCAAGGCACAAACAGATGTCAACGATGTGGAAACCTGCTCAGTCGATGAAATCGAGTGTTCCATTGCCATCCAAAGGCTGCACCGGCCAGAGCACTCTCTCCAACGTCTTCGAGCCTTGAATACCCTGGAAACGCGCCCTTGCACGACCTTCGACGAGCTCATTAACGACCTGAAGACTATCGAAAACATCAGACGAGACGCGGCGTTCGTGGGGACGAACCGGAAGAGGGCCGTTCACAAGGTACAGAGAACACCGCAACCGACGAGCGCGTATAAATCCAAATACGTTTGCTACCGGTGGCGAATATCAACTTGATTTACACCACGGTGGAAATCAATGGAGTCCCAATTAAAATGGCTGTGGACACAGGAGCGGAGGTATCCCTAATAAACCTACGCACCTACGAACAGTTGGGGAATCCAATCCTCGAGAAAATACTCAGAACTTGACAGTGGCGAGCGGAACAGAACTCAAATCCGACGGAACACTTCGGTGCCAGGTCGAGTTGGAGGATACTTCATTCACGGGCAAGTGTTTCGTGACCGACAAATGTTCCCTCCTCGGACTCGGCTGGCTAAGGAAGGACCCGCACGGAAGAATCCTGAACTTGAAGTTCATATCAAACGCAATCTCCCAAGTCACGAAATCTCCCTCGGACAACGCCGACGAAATGGCGCTTATGAAGAAAATCAAGGCGCAGTACCCGGAGGTTATTGAGGGAAAAATGGGAACGTGCCTGAAATACGAAGCGGTAATCCTCTTGAAAATGGACGCAAAACTTCTATTTAAGAAGGCAAGACCAGTTGCTTACGCCATTCTTCCAGACGTAACGAAGGAGATAGAACGCCTCGAGAAATCAGGGGTCATCGAACGTTCCGACAGCTCTCTTATTGCGGCACCTTCTCGTGGTTGTTCACAAAAGCAACGGCGACATCCGTCTATGCGCGAATCATTCTACAGGGCTCAACGCCGTCATCGAAGACGACAATTACCCTCTTCCCGCAGCGAAGACATATTCAACAACCTCAACGGAGGAAAGTTCTTCTCGAAAATCGACCTGCTCGAGGCCTACCACCGAGTGCCAGTCGCGGCAGGATGCCAAAACATCTTGGCAATAAACACGCCGAAAGGTCTCATCAGTACCAAACGCCTTCCCTTCGAGTAAAAACAGCTCCAAGCTCCTTTCCGGCACTGACCTTCCTATCTGGTCGTTTCCTTTCCGGAGTCATCACCGAGCTTCGGCTCAGAGGGGAACCCTCGTGAATTTTGTTGAATGATATTCCCCGCAACGGAGAACTCGATGCGGTATCCGGGGACTTCTCGGGAGTTGCTCTTCCTCTGCCTCATGCCTCATGTCATGCCTCCCGAATCCCATGTATGGCCGAATTCTCTGGAATTTCTGCTGTATTCCCTCCGAGTCTCTCCACGATATACTATCGCTTGATACGGCGCGAGGAGTTCGCATCCGAATGCGGTTGGGAGGAATCGCGACTTGAAAAACCCTGGACCGTATGTTTCGAAGCAGAGCTGCGTCGACTCTTTCAAAGCTAGAGGGATTCAGAGCCTCGAACGACATTCGACGCTAAGCTCAGCCGAATGTCTCATCGAAATTCCGTTTGTAATCCGTTTACCGGAAGACCATATCTGTCCCGGATGATACCAGCCCCATAGGCTTGATCTCCGCTTCAGACGCCGGGAACAATACCCAAGCTAATCTGTTTGTATGAGTATGACTCATCGAATCCGTTTCGAGGTCTTCCGACGGAGTCAAACTACCCTGAACTATCCTTGAGGCCGAACTCCCCACCCGACAAGGGCCCAGGAGAAACACATGGTGTCTAACACGCGATACTTCAGGCTGGGTCTAGGAATGCCATCGATCCTAAGAGGGAATACTCCGCGCGTGAATTTTCATGCGCAGAAGTCGGACAGATCTGTGGAGTTAGAGAGACTCGCGTGCTGTGTACCTCGCAGATATTCTTCCTCCGTCATCCGTCATTCATATCTCATATCATAGTGAACCTCCGAGCTTTTCCCGGAACTGTTCTCGAGACATGCGAGGTGGCTGTGATCTGTGATCTTGTGATCTGCAACTTCGCTATCTCGCGCTCTCCCCAAAGTTCGTTCTCTCTCATCCCAGTGCAGATCAAATTTGCCCCTGTGTCCCGTTCATGGCCACAATATGTAGATCTTTGCACAGAGAATTAGAACGATTCGCAAGATCCTCCGGAACAATATAAGCCCGCGACGGCTCTGGATCCGTGGTCTTGTTCAATGCTCCCCTCTGGTGCAGGCGTACCGCTCTCTTGATTGTTTCCATTCAGGTTAGTGCCTTGGAGCGTTGGAAGCCAGAGAACTCATTCGGATAACTTGTAGACACATGATTTCCTCGAGTCGACTTCCGAGGGGAGCAATCTTATTCGATGCTCTCAATCATTGCACATATATATATCGGTGGCCTGCACATCCTGGACTCACATGCGACGTATACCTCTCCAGGTATTGGAGGTTCTGGTGCCCCTCCAGCTTCTCCAATGAGTACCCCGACAGGAGCCAAAGTACTCTTCGAAGATTCCAAGTCTCGACTAGCAGACAAAGTTCAGAGCAATGTCAATGGTCTGGGCTCTCTGGCCAGACAAATTCTGAAAGGTGCCCGAACTCAGCAAACCTTGGCGAACGCGGCGAAGAACTTCGCAGCTCAGGTGAGATTTCGTTGGAAAATCAATATCCAACCGTCGCTCTATGCATGGAATTCGGAATCGGTTCTCCGATTCAGTAGCCAAGGGGCCGCGTGATCATCAGTCGTATCGATATGGAGACCCATCTCAAGGAAAATTGTGTCCTTCCCACAGGATGGTGCGATAAACAACTCGGAGATGAATTTGTCCAAGATGCAGACTTTGGTCGCCTCCATGCAACTGCAAACAGCAGCTCTCCAGAGGAACGTGCAAATGATCCCCGAGCTCAAGCAACAGATGGAAGACATGCGATTCTAGTAGAACGACGTCCCGAACATCATCCAGCACCCTGTACATTGTGTCATTTTCGCATATCCTATAGATTCATACGAACATAAATTGGCCATACTCCCGAAGCCGAGCTGCCATGGCTGATGCGTACACATACGTCATGATTCACAACATTCCGCAGAACTATCGTTCATGCGATCTGAGAGACTTCTTCTCTCAGCTGATAGAGACAGGAGCCTTCCGATGTTTCCACTTCAGGTGAGGGTTACGCTCTCGAAGTTCCGCGTAATCTCCGTTGGCCCCGCGATATCTGCGTGAGAGTTTTTTTTAGAAATATACGACTGCCGCAGCCTACCAAGGGGGGAGGGACTGATATATTTCCGCTTCCAGGCACAGGCCCGAGGTTCAAAAAATCAAAGATTTCGAAACCGTGGAGGACGATAGATCTGGGAAACAGACCCGTAATACTTGTTGCTGCATTGCCATGGTTCAAAAAGCGAGGCTCGAAGAGCTACTGACGACTTATGATGGAGCTTTCTGGGTCACCAAAGAGGGCGAAACTCTCAATTCGAAGTGCCACATTCGAAGAGTTATCGTAGCCAACGGTAGGGCCTCAATAGAACCAATCGAATTCTGCGCCAGAAACTTCACTGCTATGGAAGCTCCTCTCCGATTATCGATATTAAATCGCATCTTATTTCGTGAGTCGATTCCGATCCTGTTCCTCTACCCGCTCTGCAGAACCCACATCGAATCAGAAGAGATACGATCGCCAGAATCGCTTGCCGACGGTCTGTCAATCGGATCTCCGGGAAATGATCGAGCTGCGTCCCCCACCAGCTCTTCCAGCCGGCAACGTCGGGACGCCGACGAGATACATTTTGAAGCAGATCAACAAGTGCCAATTCCCCGTGCGCCTCATCGCGAGTTTAGGGCTAGAGTTCCCGAGATTGCGGGCGAAAGGCATGTACGGCAGTGTTAGCCTCGACTACGATAAAATTTCTGGCAAGAGTATCCGGGACACAGAGGCGGGGGCATCGACTGCACCGTCGACCTCGCGAGCAGCCGACGTCAAACGGGTTGCTCCCCGGAAGGCCGCGCCAGACCTCAGCGACATGCCTACAGCGGATCAAGTGCCGACATTTGCCCGAACCACCAAAGGACATCTGATTGCGAGCTCGCACGTGAGACCCAGGAAGGAATTGGGTCCGCAGGAGGATCCGGAAACCCTCAACACTGAAGGATCGGGAGAGAAAGATGACGAGTTGAGCGACGATGGGGAGGAGTGGGATAGGCACGAAGCTCTGCACGATGATGTCACCAGTCAAGAACGTAACAAGGTACTATCATTTTGGAAGCGGATGCGAGAGTCACACTAGTGAGGGAAGTCGGTTCGAAGGATTTTCTCGATGGAAGATCTCATGCTCATTATTTTTTAGGAGCGGCTGTTCGAAGAAGGAATGGAAGTCGTGTGGGAAAAAGGGGGGTCGGGTCTCGTCTTCTACACGGATGCCCAGCACTGGGATGAGACCGAGGGCGATTTTGACGCAAAAACCAGTGACGATTGGGATTTGGACATGAGCGGATACCGTCAGGATGGCAAGTTTCTTGCTCTCATTTCAAGATCATTGCCTCCCGTTCGAAGGAATCTCTTCTTTTTTCGAATCTTTCTGGTTTATTCTTCTTCCTCAAGCGTCTGGCTTAGAACAATTCACGAAACTCGGAATGAATGATAAACACTGAAGATTCCGGATGCGGACCCATTCCATGACTGAAAAAGCACTCCTTCCGTTCAGGTGCTGGAGACAAAGACGCCCGAGACATGATATCCATGAGGAACTCAGAAGCATTGAGGAAGCAATCAGAGGTTGACGAAAACCGAGTTGGGTTTTTCGAGAATTTCACCAAAGGCGTCGGACGGAAAATCCTTGAAAAGCAGGGTTGGACGGAGGGGTCAGGCGTCGGATTGCAACAAGGCATTCTCGAACCGATCAGTGAAGACTGGAAACATCCGAACGATCGATCCGGTCTCGGGTAAGATTGCTCGCCCGAATGTGTGTGGTATTTTCGTGGTCGACGATGAAGTATATCCACTGAGCCATAGAATGGAACGAAGAGTTCTAAATCTATCTCCTTGAACAGGTTCCGTGGCGAGAAACTGGAGCGCCGCAGACTGAGGACAACCAGATCTGAGGCCGATGAAGATCGTCTGTTCAGTGCAGTTTACGATGAGCACTTCGGTCAGGACGGTCACGGAATAACAGGCAGATCCGAATTACCATCGGTGCTCAAATACCGGAAGAAGTTTGTTAAAGATAGTGGGAAGGAATAAAGGTCAATTTCAGCCATGTGTTCACCATGACTGTACTTTTTCGCCTCGGAGATCTCCGTTCACACGGATGAAAGGAGCTGAAAGGTATCAGGGATGAGAGCCTGATCTTTCGATTTCCCTTCCTTCGAAGGGTGACTCCCTGTTCAGGGCCTCTTTCGGTGAGCGAATGATCATCGAAAAGAGACGGATTCAGTAGATTCCGGGGAACTACCCTCTCATGTCTCGAAGGAACCGCCTTTACTCCATCGTACGTGATCTACTCGTGAAGAATGTGAGAGACCGCCTCCATCATGAGTCATGATGGATCGGAGAATCCCCGGGAGAGAGATTTCAAGTTTGCGCGCCATTCCGCCTCCTTCTCTCCCCCCTCCCGAGTTTCGAAATTCGAAACAAAAGAGTGCGTCTCTCGCGTCTCGACTTGTTCGATAATGTGGACTGGCTGTGCGTTAGGTGGTCTGTTTTGATCCGGAACTTAGTTTCTCGGCCACAATCGTTGTGCCATGTCTGTGGTGATTGAAACAACCATGGGGGACTTCACGGTCGATCTCTACGTGGAGGAGAGGCCGCGAACCTCTATGAATTTTCTGAAACTTTGTAAATTGAAGTATTACAATCTCCAACTTTTTTTCAAGGTGAGTTTCAGTGTCGCTCCGGAGGGAGACACTGACTCTGAGGACTTTTGAGCTTGTCCCCATTTGACGTGAAGCACAGCGCATCTTGTGTCTTTCCCGCGTGAAGAAACTCGCATCTTGAGTCTGAAACTTTGATTCGAAATTCAGGTGACACCGAACTTCGTTTGCCAAGCGGGAGACCCCACTCTGAGCGGAAGGGGCGGGAGCTCCATGTTCAGTCATCTTTATGGGGAGCAAGCGCGGTATTTCGAAGTTGAAAGCCAGCCCCGATTGAAACATCTGAAGCTGGGAACGCTATCGATGGTCAACAACGGTGAAGGGATGTTGGGCTCTCAATTTCTCATAACTTTGAGCGACAACCTCGACTACTTAGATGAGCAGGGACATTGTGTCTTCGGAGAGGTAAGTGTGCTCTGTCATCATAATAAGATCATCTGTTGTAATGGTGATCGGCTTCCCGGATAACTCTTCGAGGCTCGCCTTCATTCACACAATATTGGCAATTCATCTTCGATCGCAAGACGAAGAACTGTTCCTCATTCAGCTCAATCCCCTCGCAGGTTGTTGAAGGCATGGAGTTCCTCGAGAGAATCAACGAGGTCATTTGTGACAAAGACGAGAGACCTATGCAAGACATCATGATTTCACACACGGTGATCCTGGACGATCCTTTCGCAGAGCCTGAGAACTTGGAATATCCGGCATCCCCCGAAGTTACCCTCGACATGCTGAAATCCGATCGTATCGCCTGTTATGAAGACATCGCCGAATATGAAGGTCGCACAGCAGAGGAGATCGAAGAGGCGTTGAAGGAGAAGGAAGCGAAAGCTCAAGCGACGGTATTGGAAATTATTGGGGATCTCCCAGACGCGGACATGGCACCTCCGGAGAACGTTCTCTTCGTCTGCAAACTTAATCCGGTGACGAACGATGACGATCTCGAGCTGATTTTCTCGCGCTTCGGAGAGATCAAAGGTTGTGAAATTATCCGCGACTGGAAAACGGGGGAGAGCCTTCAGTATGCTTTCATCGAGTTCGCTAACAAGGAGTCTTGTGAACAAGCTTATTTCAAGATGGATAATGTTCTCATTGACGACAGAAGAATCCACGTCGACTTCTCTCAATCAGTCGCCAAAGTCAAATGGAAAGGAAAAGGGCGAGGAGTCGTGGGAGACTGGTCTGAGGACAAGAAGAAAACGCGGTCCGACGACAGACCGCGAGAGAAATATGTGATGAGGGATACTCGCAAGAAAGACGGCTACAAGCTCATTCTAAGAGGAGAATCAGACGCGAGGAAGTCGCAGAAACGGGAGATGTCGAGAAGCCCCGACAACCGACATCGATCCCACAGAAAGACGAGTCCTAAGCCCCGCCGGGAGAGCCCCCCTCCGCAGGGTCGAAGTAGAGATTTCCAGTTTAGGGAACGTCGACGAGAAGGGAGAAGTACCTCACCGAGAAACCGAGGGAAGAGTTCCTCGCCGAGGAATCGACGAAGAAATCCCTCGCCTTCGGACCGAAGGAGCAGCCCATCACAAAGACGGACCAAGAGGAGTCCCTCGCCGAGGAGAAGGAGGAGGAGTCCCTCGCCCAGAGGACAGAGGAGGAGCATCTCGCCACAAAGTCGGAGAATCAGCTCTCCTTCCAGGAATCAGAAAAGAAGTCCCTCGCCGAGGAATCGAAGACGGAATCCGTCGCCGAGAGACCGGAAAGATCGGGGGCGCAGATCTCGCTCTAGAGACCGATATTCGGAGCGTTCGAATCGCTATTGATTGAGACCTTGACCTTTAGAATAAACATGTATATATAATGAATTCATTGAGTATCATCAGTTTTACGCGGGCCGTGGGATCCGGAGTCTTCTCATCATCAATTCGGAGTCTTTCTTTTCGATCGAAAGCTGCGAATCCATTCAGCGAAACCTCGTCTTCCCGTCGAACGTCCTGGTCCCAGCTGATCAGCAGAGAGTTTGCGGCCGGCTATTCAGTTGTCGCAGCTGGGAAAATCAATGACACATAAGCCTCGAGATAGCCTGATCAGGGTCCAGTCGATGGGCGTTCCGAAGCATCCCCATGGGACGAATTGGTTTTTCGGCTCTTCCGCTGCCCATCGTGGAAATCGAAGCAACGATTTTCGAGGTCTCCCAGTTCTCCAGCGGGGGTCGCTCCCGTCCGGAGCGTCGTGCTGAATCCGATGACGTGCAATCCCTGACGATACCGATTCTCTCCGATCGTGGTCATTCTCAGGCTCTCTTGAAGGATCACCTGTGCGCCAGAGGGAGGGGAAGTGACCGAAAAAGTGGCCCCGCAGCCCGTATCTGCCTCGTGAACCCGAGAGGAGTCAAGGGCTTGGACGCACTCCGATACTTCATGCTAAGAGGAGCCTCATCCGTGTCGGATTCCACCAGCCGATGCAAAGGGTACATCCGGCCAGGAATAAGAATGATGAATACAAGATTACTCTCTCTGGTTCCGAGTCGAAACTCGAGCTTCGCCTAGATCACATCATTATGTCACGTGATTCGTGTCTAGGATCCCAGGATAGGATGGAGAATCACATTCCGTTTATTCATCGATGGAAATGAGCTCGTTCTATCAGGAGCCAGTGGACTCTTCCACTCAGTAGGAAGTACCAGGTTCCGAACCTTCACTTGTCTTCGGGGCGGGCTCGTAGTAGGTGACGACTTTTTTAGGTAATAGATCATCAATAGGGAATCTTCTGACGAGTAGGTCTGGATGGATATCTGGCCGATCGCATCGAAAGTCCTCTTTGTTGCAATTGAAGAGTACCATCGTCGTGCTGAACAACCCTACACACTCCTCGACTTTGTTCTGATCGTGATCGGTGGGTTTGTTGAGGAAGAAGATGAATCCTTCGTAAATCTCACCCTGTTGCCATTCATGGTACCTGTATAAAGGACCGTCCACCCCGATCGAGCCGAGCAGGATAGTGAAACAGCCCGTGCCGTCGATGAAGTAGTCGAAGAATGAATCTATGATACAGGTGTCGCGTAGAATGAAGTAGAACACATGAGCGTTCCTGAGAAGCGCTTCAGGGATAGAGTCCATTCTTGTCGCGAGACGTTGGGACGGCCGGTGGATCTACTTCGCTCCGAGAGTTCCAAGTTCTATTTCGTTGTTTCGATCGCTCAGCTCCAAAACTTCGCTGCCATACGTCGATCTCGGAACTCGGGATCCCATCGACGAATTCGCATCGCTTTCTCGCTGGGAGGAAAGTAATTATGCGACGGTCCTCCGATATTGGACACAAAATATCTTCAGGATACGCGTGGGCGATACATCAAGTCTTGGCTCAAAGAATCTCCTGGAGACCCGGAGCGAGGATCGGCTCCAGTATAGGAGCAAACGAAAGTCATCTCATTGTCGATCGAAGCTCCGGGTCAGAGATCCTCGACAAGCGATGTCCGGTCGATGAAACGCGAGATAAAACGAGGCCCGACAAGGGGGTACGACATAGGAAGGCTCGGGAGGAAACAGACTCCCACACCTCCCCGCTTGCAAGGGTGCCGCGGGCTTCCGATGTTTTCGGCGCTCCACCGTAGACGTCCTATGTCACGCCGCATCCTCTCGTGAAGCCAATCGGCGACCAAAGTGTGATTGCGGCGGTTCCAATTCGTTCCTCTCGCTATCTTGACCGTCGCGAAGATATTCGAATCTCCTCATTGCTTTCATTCACTTGAGAAATCCGCCACACGGTCCGCCTCGTTCCGCTTCCGAGCGCGGTCCGTCTCGAAAAGACCTCCGAGTTCGTAGACGAACGGAAGGTCCACTATCAGACCCGCTCCGGCATTTCTATTCGCCCGTCAGCTGAGAGCTCGCCGGAGTTTCGCTTAGATCCAGCAGCCTCTCGAGCCCACGCTCAGAGGCTCAACCGGGGCCGTGATTCCAGTATACCTAGAGTTAGGTTTGCAAAGGCTCACAGGCTGGGGCACACAAAGTACATATATATACATATTTATTTATTGCGAAAAGACACATGCAAAGCACTCAAACACGCGACCATGGGTCACGTAACATGATGTAGCTCGACAAAGTCAAGCTGGTCGTCGGATTCTCCATTGAAGACCTCATCGAGCCAACTCTGGATTGAAAGGTTCCGCGATGCCATACGAGAGGAAGTCCTCCTCTAGTAAGCGCCGCATGTCCCTGAATAGCATGGCGGCTTCTAACTCGAGCCTCCGCTCATTCTCGTAACGTCGGCGGCTGTGCCTGGGGAGACCGGTTTTCGGGACCAATTCACCGCTCGGCAGGGCATGCCTGGAGAGACATTGGCCCGAGAAAGGACAAACTCCCTTCCCGCGATTGAAGAACCTGCAATCTTTCTCCGCCAGAGCTGCCCTATAGTAAGCGATGAGCACACGTTTTTCGAATTCCGTTTCGAAAAAGATCGCCGAAGGAATCACCAGATCCGATTCAGTTCGACACACCGGACAGCCATGGGTTAAGGAGAATTCGAAAGTTCTTACTCGTCTCCAACTCCTTATGCACCCTAAGCAGAAAATGTGCGAACAGTTTTCAAGGATGCCGAACTTCCTTGAGAGTTCTTCTTCTTTTCGTAGTACGACCTCGAAGCAGACTCCGCACTGTAGCTTCGATGATCGCTTGGCTGCGGAGACCGAACGTCCCCGGCCCCGATGAGCCTGCCGGCACGCTCTTACATGTTGATACTTGCAATCGGGATTGTTCGGATCGATGATGAACTTGCTGCAGAACTGGCACAGATCTCCGTGGAACTTGGGGCATTTCTTGTCAACACAATGTCCCGCGATCACGTAGAAATCGCATAATGGGGGCGGTGAGAGCTCGGATGTTCGAGACGTTCTCTCAGATTGAGCAGCCGCAGACGAAGGGGATGATGGGCCGGTGGGAGGCTCCAGAGCGTGGTCGTAACGACAGCGCTTTCCATATCGGCACTTGCCTGTCTTGAAGTATCGGCAAGAGATTCCCGATTTCCTGTCGTGTGAGAATTTACATTTGCGTGCGCGGGGGCAAGTATCCGTGAGGAAGTCTTTGCACATGATATTGCGGGGAGCGGCGCCGGTCATCTTCCGGCTGTTGCGTTTCCACGTATCGGGGACTCGCGGGTTCAGTTCTCCAGGTGCGGTGATTGATGGGCCCCTCACGAACTTCCAACCCTGTTGAACTCTGTTGAGGAGACGGTGAGTTTCTTGTCGACGCGTACAGGTCCGAGGAGACTGTTACTTTCTCGGCGACGAGTACAGGTTTTGAGGTAGCTGTGGCGAGAGCACTCCGACCCGGAGCCTCACAGCTCTCTGAGCTTTGTGAGTCCCATCACCCTCGTGAGGGGTTGGGATGAACTTTCCGGGAGTCCTCTCTCTCCAAGATGACTCGGCGGTCGGAGAATATTTTCGAGAGAGACTCACACTGATGATTGTCGTCTGGATGTTGTGGATCAGAGAAATTCTTCGTGAGTTCCCGGAGTCTGGTGAGATAAAAGTATTCGTCTACACCGACACCTCCGACACACACCGACCGAACACCAACTTCAGTCAGGTCGCTGTGTACTCTTTCTGTAGTCGATTATAAAATCTGCTCTCACCATGTCAGGTGCGGCTTCATCATGATGAGCCTAAAAGAGGGTACAATTGAGCTGCGCTGGATCTCCTTCCCCTCCTATGAATCCTGGCACCGGTCTTTCACTTGATTCTGCAGGCGAGACTATTCCCTGTTACCTGGGCTCATCAGCGGGGAGCCAGCCGAACATGTGTGATCGAGACCCGACTCCGAAACAGACCGAAGGTGGAACACAGACCTCATGCTCATCCAAAATTACTCAAAAAGTCTTGCTAGTATTCTAGAAGAAGTCCCCTCAACTTGGTGCCGCAAGATTCGAAGAAATGTGCAAATATATACTCGAGTTCAGCCTTCTGCTGTATTCCATGGAAAGACGAGTTGGCGACCTGGTAATGTGGCTTTTGTCTAGTCTCATGGCTTCGAATTCCATCCTGTAACGACCAGATTGGTGCGTTCCGCTTCTAACACTCCCGGCGGCGAATAAGACGAGTCTCCGCGGCACGGAGGACGAGGTGCCTCAGGAAGACAAATTAAAGTAAGAATTTTCCGAAATCGTCATGATGAGGCGAATCTATACATCAATTGCGTGACGCCTACAAAACGGGCTCTAACGGTGAATTTTGGTTCGGACAGAACCATGATACATATGAATCTTCGGTAGAGCTGGCACTAATAGCTATTACATCGGTGGCCGATGGTGCCACTGTCTTATTGTTCAGTCATTCCAGAGAATTCTTCTGTTCATCCAACCTCTCTGCCGGAGAGCGTCGTGATCAGGGCGGTTGCTCAGGCTATTCGTGACCGGTTTCCGGGACGAGAGACGGGGGTTTTCAATCACCGGATAAATATGAGAGTCCTTCGCTCGAGCCTAAATTGCCTTTCAGATGGACGGGGATCAATGACAAAAGAAGAGAATATCAGTGATTCATGTCTGTTATCACTGCGTTGCTGCACCCTCTGATCTCGGCGAGGCGCCGTGAATTAAGCGGACAGCGCTTTCCGAAAGCAATTAGCACCACCTGCCCACCGCGAGATGAATGAAGCGTCTCGAACGCTCGGAACCTCGTTCTGATTGATTGATTGATGGATTGATTGCTTGATTGGCTGACTGCCACCTCGCGAATCGAAACAGCAAGACTTCATTGGAGTGGTCCAGACTCCGAGATTGGTCGTATTCGATGAGTCTCGAAGGTGGGCGCGTCTCCCAAAAGATTTCAGAAAGCGCGAGAAATGAACGAAGGAATCAGGAGGCTCCCTAGTCGACACGATTCCGCTCTAGCTTCCGAGAAAAATCATCAGCATCAATTCCCCCAATCGATCCGAAGGATTTATCTTCACCGATCTCCCCTCTCGGGGCATGTCCGGACGAATCGGTGTAAAGTTGTCATACAGCTCGTCTGCGCATCGAACAGGTACAGCCGTCCGAATCGAACCCCGTTATCGTTAATAATCGTTGTCCGAGAGTCGTGAGCCTCGGATGGATCGCCTTTCACAATTCCGCAGGTCCGAGAACCCTGCTGGTTCGAATCGTATGCCCATGTGTATGTGTGGGTGCGATAGAAGTAGATGAAGTGATCTGAGATGATCTGGCTTAGCCGACCGATGATGATATTTCTTTGTTTTCGCCATTTGTTCGAGCTCGAATTTGAGAGTGCGAATGTAAGCAGGAAGGCAGATCTGGTTTAACCAGACTTGAACAGAAGAATGGCCACCTGGCCGAGATAGAAGTACCGTATATCTCAAAATAAAAGGCATCCCCCAAATATAAGTGACTCGCAAGGATTACTATAATAGAAGAAACCCCCCAAAAGAAGACACCCCCGAATAGGAGACACCCCCCTAATAAAAGACACCCCCTAATAGAAGACACCCCCAAACAGAAGACACCCTCCATAATAGAAGACACCCCGAAAATGCAGGACAGTCAGTGTCTTCTATTTGGGGATGTCTTCTATTATAGTATTTTTGACAGGGTCCTGTATTAAGGGGATGCCTACTATTGGGGGGTGGTTTTTATTCGGGGGTGTCTTCTATTATAGTACTTCCGACAGTGTCTTGTATTTGGAGGGTGCCTTTTATTTGGAGATATACGGTAGATGAAGTGCTTCGTTTCATGAGGTACGTGGCTTCCGAAGTTTCGACCGACAAGGCAATGCCAATTTATTTGGTACAACACTTGCTTCACTCTCTCATCGCGGGCTCAACTTCGGCTGTCACGTTCTTGTCCTTCCGAGATTCGTCCCACGTCACTGGAAACCAGAAGACGTGAAAATCCCTTTATCGGCTATTCCTCGACCATTATTTTTCCTTTTTCACCTATCAGCCTCATTTCGACGTCCCGACATTCGATTTCTACTCACGCTTGACCAAGAAAATCCTCCCCGAAAGACACACCACAGCGAGAATTCCCGGTACATGACGATTCGGCGCCGGACGAATGCCTTTTGTCGAGCGCACCTCTGAATGCCTGAAGTCAGGGTATTTGTGCTTAGTTTGACCCGAGATCGACTTGTCCTTCTTCCTTCGATCAATTCATCTTTAACATTGCTGACTTCCATAGTTTCCCGGTTTGAATACCCTCTGACTTGGCACCGAATTATCCAGCGCCGAATCGTCCTCGGCGCCGAATTATCCAGCGCCGAATCGTCCTCGGCGCCGAGTTATCCAGCGCCGAATTGTCCGGCGCCGAATCGTCCGCGCCGAATTGTCTTGCTCCGAGAATAATTCCTGTAAGGATCCAGAAGACGAGAGGCGCCATTCCAAAGATCTGAAATGAATCGTGAACTCAACAGAAGCTCCGTCAGAAACGAGATCAAGGGTCGAAATTATAAGAGCAGTGTACGTATTTTCGACCGCGACCTCAACTACAAGTCGAAAGATCCAACGATGGAGAGACATCATCATCATCACCCCATCATCAACATCATCACCCTACTGATTAAGCGCGACTGTCCGTGATCGAGAAGGTTACCAAAAACTCCCGAAATTCTGCTCAGAGGTTGGGTGGTCAACGTCGAGTGCGGAAAGCGTGCTCAGAGAGCTGCAGCTCATCTCCTCCCCGCTCAAATCCCCGCGCGCACGGATCTATGTGTGTCGCGTCACGCGCTGCCTTCACATTTCCGATTCTTGCAATTAAGCCGTCGTATCGATTAATTCGTCGTGCGGCGCGGCCCAAGCGACATGCAATTTGGTTTCCGCAATGAGTTTCTTCCCTCTTCCATCGCGTTATTCCATTTCCCGTCCTGATTACCGCAAGGCAGCGCGGAAGAAATCTCTGAATCACGAAGCCATTTCGTTTCGATTGGAAGCGATGCCCTACAACAGTGGTTCTCAAACTGGGTTCCACGGAACCCTTGGGTTCCACGGACCGATTCCGGGGCTCCACAGGCATCTGTCTCGTGGAACCCCAGGGTTCCGCGAGCACTTTTGGCAGTTTCGGTAGCCTTCAGAGAAGTCGCCATGAAGCATCTGATCCTTCGAATTCGAAGCCTTCAGGAGATCATCTCCGTTACCGGATCCACACCGGGCCCGAGACTCCTTTTCAGAACTCAGCTTACCGGTGCCCGAATCAAGTCGGCAGCTCGATGCAGATCGTCATTCGAGAGCATCTCCCAGCGTGTCTCGCGTTCTTTCACAAATGACGTGCTGCTTTAGGTTCTCAGGCTCGCAGCTTCGACGACCCGTCCGGATCAGCTGCTCGACTGTGATCCATTCGCTAAATGTTTTCATCCGTTCCAAACGAACTTCGCTTCCTGTGGATCTTGGAAAAATGATTCGATGGCTCGCGACAGGATCGTGCTTGAGATTGCCTGGTCTCGGATAGGCTCAAAACACAATCGAGCTGTCGACGCACGAATCCAGCCTCTCGGAAGAAGAACGAGCGCCGACTGAGCCGCCGAGATTGCATCGAGAATGCAGGGTCATCCATCGCATTGATGCGTTCCGTTGCCAGGACAAAATTATCCGACAGGATATTCATACACTGCATAACATAAATCAGCTCCAGACGTTGACGAGTAATAAAGTTGGGAATTGTCTTTCTCCCCGGCAGTCTTAAATAATCACCGAGGGAAAATATTTTTTTTCGGGGTTCCGCGCAGGGTTTCATGCTGGTTTTCTGACTCGTTTTCGCGAGCGAGCGCAGTCTGAGCTCGATCAGCTTCCAGTCTTAATTCATGCTGGTTTTCTGACTCGTTTTCGCGAGCGAGCGCAGTCTGAGCTCGACCAGCTTCCAGCCTAATTTCATGCTGGTTTTCTGACTCGTTTTCGCGAGCGAGCGCAGTCTGAGTGCAAACGGCCTCCAGCCTAATTTCATGCTGGTTTTCTGACTCGTTTTCGCGAGCGAGCGCAGTCTGAGCTCGATCAGCTTCCAGCCTAATTTCATGCTTGTTTTCTGACTCGTTTTCGCGAGCGAGCGCAGTCTGAGTGCGAACGGCCTCCAGCCTAACATGCTGGTTTTCTGACTTCGTTTTCGCGAGCGAGCGCAGTCTGAGCTCGATCAGCTTCCAGTCTTAATTCACGCTGGTTTTCTGACTCGTTTTCGCGAGCGAGCGCAGTCTGAGCTCGATTAGCTTCCAGCCTGGCCATACGCTCAGCATCGGTCTCGCTCTCACGCCTCTGTCTTCGTTCTAACAGCCTCGCTTGCCTCTCTTCTTCAGTCAGTGCAGCTCGAGACGATTTTCTCTTCGCAGCTCTTTTCGTTGACCGACTCAAAGCGGAGCCTTTAGGAGGCATGGTGAGTCAGAAATCAATGGGTGCGCTTGAGAATTTATTGATAGAACGAAGCAACGGATTCAAAGGATCAAACGAAGATTTTGAGAAGTGAAGCTCCTCCAATACTAAAATCTGAACTACCTCTAAGCTACAAAACTACCGAAATCTATCTACTACTATACAAAAGCAGTTCCTACGCTGAAAAGTGCTCGGACCTGCCTAGAGCTTCGATCGCTGAGGTCCCGGAAAACCAGGACTTTTCAGGGAAAGTAATGCGAATAATCCAACTCACTCAAGGAAGTTGACGTGTCCAGAGAAGTCGTTTTCTCAGAATGAGATAGTCTCGACGAAAGTGTCTGCCGAATTCACGCCGCCAAGCTCCCTTTCCCTCGGACGTTGGAGAAAAAACCGAAACGCTCTCTAGCGAACGAACACGCTCTCTGAGCAACAACGCGTTTTCCAAAACCGTCTGAGAATCCTCGACAATTTCGCTATGCGACCGAGCTGTATGGAAGATGATCCGGTAAAGCGACCCGGTTGCCGCGGCATCAATGTCTCTGTGTCTCAGTGCAGCCTACCGAGTCTAGCGATTCTACAGGCAAACAGACAGATACGTTTTTATATATATAGATAGATATTTACAATGTATCGCCACTATGTATATCTCTGTTGACTTCTACAGGCTCTCCGAAGGCATTGCTGGCTCCACTTCGGCCGACAGGTTCCCCTTCTTTTGAGTGCCATCCCGGCTCACTGGAAACCAGAAGACATGAAATTTCCTCTATCGGCTACTACTATTCCTATATCATTATTATTCCTCTTTCACCTATCAGCTTCATTTGGACGTCCCGACATTCGATTTCTACTCACGCTTGATGAAGGAAATCATCGCCGAAATACTCAACACGAGCAGAACGCCTACAACGACCCAGAAGACGAGAGGCGCCATGCCAAAGATCTGAAATGAATCGTGAACTCAACTACAGCTCCGTCAGAAACGAGATCAGGGGTCGAAATTATAAGAGCAGTATACGTATTTTCGACCGCGACTTCAACTATAAGTCGAGTGATCCAACGATGGAGAGACATCATCATCATCACCCCATCATCACCCTACTGATTAGGCGCGACTGTCCGTGATCGAGAAGGTTACCAAAAACTCCCGAAATTGTGCTCAGAGGTTGGGTGGTCGAGTGCGGAAAGCGTGCTCAGAGAGCTGCAGCTCATCTCCTCCCCGCTCAAATCCCCGCGCGCACGGATCTATGTGTGTCGCGTCACGCGCTGCCTTCACATTTCCGATTCTTGCAATAAAGCCGTCGTATCGATTAATTCGTCGTGCGGCGCGACCCAAGCGACATGCAATTTGGTTTCCGCAATGAGTTTCTTCCCTCTTCCATCGCGTTACTCCATTTCCCGTCCTGATTACCGCAAGGCAGCGCGGAAGAAATCTCTGAATCACGAAGCCATTCCGTTTCGATTGGAAGCGATGTCCTACAACACCCATTGCCACTCGACACTGGACTACTCATTCTATGTACTAATGAATAATGAAGCACCATCGACGACGAGTCCCATTCATCGAAAAACCATCGTCAGCCACGTCGGCCGCAATCCTATTTCGGCTCATCCGAGTCGCTCATGTCAGCGCTCTTGCAGCAAGCGCTGAAAGATGCCCGCTGTGGCGAGAGGCTCGACATGGAATCAGAGACTCTTCTTCGTACATTACGACCCTATTCTCCGCAGAAACTCACACCCCGCCATTTCTTCCATTCGCGATCACGATCACTCGGTCTTGGAATACGATGGTTTACGCTCTTCCTCGACTCACCCTCCACCCTTCTTCTCACGCTCCCACTGCCCGAGCTCTGCCACAGTCCTCCATCGTTCCCATTAGAACCGAAGACAAGGAGCGCGGCCGACAGCCGCGTTCATGAGGCCTGGAACCCATACTCGTCTTGCTCTAGCTATTCATATGCGGCCCGTTTCGCGAAACAAGGGTCAATTGGCAAACGTTCGCTCTCGGGAGCGATCGCCAGGCGAGTCCTTCAAGATGCGGAGCTCGTATAACTCAAGCGTTCGGAACTCCACGCGTATAATCTACACTTTCTTCTAACTATCATGCTCCGCGAACTGACCTTATTTCGATTTCGTCGGTCGGCGTCGACGAAGACCTTCACCGCGAATGGCTCCGCAGCCCTGACGTGAGAAACAACCCTAATGTAATAAGATGTACGGAGTCCCGATAATCCGCACGAACCGCAATGCGCGCAAGATGGCGATTTCGGCCTGATGCACAATCCGAGCGGGACAACTCACCGATGCTTTCTCTTCAGCGATGGGAGTTTCTTGCGCTTCGGTTGGCCCTGCTGGTAGAAAGGACGTTTTACTTGTTCTTTTGCACAATAGAAGCAAACCACACGAACAAACAGCGGCGAGCAAAAGTTTCCAGACAGGAGGAAATCTTATAAACATTGCTGATAACGAAGAGAAATCCCCGGGCCGCAGTTCATTTCTCTAGACTCTAGAGCGCGAGCGATGCCGACGACGCACAGTGGATCAAAATGAGTTTCTAGGTGGACAAAATTATTTTTCGTGAAATTTCGCTTTGCGAAGGGTCTTCGAGTCGGGAAATACAAGAAAAAACTGACCAATCACGGTTTAGGCGATCATGATACATTCTGTTATTTCTTAGAGTCAATAACAAAAATCACTCGTAGAGTCGCTTGAAATCTCCGTGCGGACATTCCACTACATAAAGTTTCTCATCCTGTGTTGAAAAACTTTCTCGAGAAGTATACCGGAGTGAAAGTGCAGGACCGCTCTACGCTACAGCGATCGTACATGCCAGTGGTGTATGACGGCGTTGTCCGGAAAATCCGCGAATCAATTGGATCGTCTAAGATTTGGATCTCTATTGACGAAACTTCGGATAAAGCTGGCCGTAGCGTAGCCAACGTGGTTGTGGGTAAACTAGACAAGATGAGCTTCGGTCGAAGTTATCTTCTCGTGTGCGAGGCCTTGGAGAAAACCAATGCCGCGGAGATTTCGCAATTGTTCGTGAAATCCCTGGAACTACTGTGGACAGACGGCGTTCTCTACGAGAACGTACTGGTCTTCGTGACCGACGCTGCTCGGTGCATGAACAAAGCTGCAGCCGGTTTGGAAGTGCTATTCCCTCGGTTGATACATGTTACCTGCGTGGCACACGGCCTGCATAGAGTGTCCGAACAGGTCCGCTTGCTTTTTCCGAAAGTAGATCGATTGATGGCGAGCATGAAGATGGTACTTTTGAAGAGTCCCTCCCGCATCTCCCTCTTCAAAGCTGGAGTTGACCTGCCTCTCCCACCGAAACCAACTTGTAACTCGCTGGGGAACCTGGCTGAGAGCGGTTGAATACTACGTAGAGAATTTCCAGCGTCTGAAGAGCTTCGTTTGTGACGAGCTCCATGAGGAGGATGCAGCCGCTATCGGAGAAGCTCAGCGTCTACTCGTCGACGCCTCTGTGCAGACTGGACTTGCTGCAATCGCATCGCATTTCTCCGGGATTCCGGACGCAGTCACAGCCCTCGAAGCGCACGGACTGCCCGTAGAGGAAGCTACGAGAGTGATCGAAAATGTTCGGGAGAGTCTCCAGACACTGCCGCGGGAACTCCAGCCCATATACCGTAAATTTGAGGAAGTTTTCGGCAAGAACACCGGTTTCGCTGAGTTGTGTCGTGTTCGCGATCTCCTCCGAGGACGGGCGAGCGAAGATGGCCTGGAGCTACCAGTCGAGGATCTGATATGCCTGAAGTTCGCGCCTCTAGTATCATGTGAAGTTGAGCGTACTTCCTCGCAGTATAGAGCGATACTGCGAGACAACAGGCACTCATTCCTTTTCGATAATCTAAAGAAATACATCGTGGTTGCGTGTAACAAGGAAATCGAATAAAAAAATCGTGCATATTTTCTTGCATATTCGGCCCGATTTTTCATGCATACTGCATGCATATTTTCGATTTTTTGGTGCATATTTCGCACAGCCCTAATGATGACTCATCATTGACCTCCGAGGACCCGACTTCAATCTCTGGGTCGACCCTCAGTAAAGCTGCTACTTACGGGTCAACGCTCGATGACTTTTCCTCCAGAGGTTCTCGAGTTTACCGCACCACTAGGAGTATGAATGCGAAGTTTGCTTACACGAGCGGATACCGTTGCTGCAGTTCGCGCATGTGCTGCCGTTATCTGCACATTGACGTGCAAACCGCGAACGTCCAACGATGGCGTCCAATAAAGGAATTCGGCGTTTTATGGTCTCTGTGTCTCCAAGGAATTAAGCTTCTCATTCGTGAATGGAGATTTTCATGGTGACGAAAATAAATTATTATTCGGTAACCGGGTAAAACCGGGTGACAATATTAATTTTTCTGATTGCCGGAGGTCTGATGAGTGTCCCAGTCTTGACAGCTCCCAGGCTCCCAGGGCCGCGAGGCGACACTAGACTTTTGGTATCGCGAAGTTTCGGAAGAATTCGGAAGAATCCATGAGAGATATCACATCCTTCTAAGCAACCTCAAACATGTCTGATCCGGTCCGAATCTCGTTCAAACTTGAGATCCGGACGAGAACTGAGCTAAGAACAAACCTCCATCCCCGCCGGAAAGGGTGGAGTGACTTCGTTTTTGAAATTCATTGATTAGAGGAAAAAGAGTCCCATGATGCCCGAATTCCAACTTCTGATTCGGTAGTTGTGTATTCCGAAGCAGCAGCAGGAAATTCCGAGATCTCTATGGTTTTCCGACTTCCAGACATCGCTTTTCATGCCGAGCTATCAGTTGGTACGAAAATTCCGAGATGACTTTTGTCCACCTAAAAACTCATTTTGATCCACTGTGCGACGGCAGGATCTTGGCTCTTGACCTGTCTAGAAGCTTTTGTTCGTCATTTTGGGTAAATAAACGAATCCTTCCGAGCTAAACTATCCAGCAAAACTTCAATGTCCCGGATGAATAGGAGTTGCTCCCGGGACCAATTAAGAAGGCATATCAACTCGGGTGGATCATGGCCCACTACCTGCGTGGGGAACCCACGGCCGCGCCACCTCCGGAAAGAGTGTGATACAGTAAAAGCTCGTTACTACGAACACGAAGGGACCGAAGAAACCGGTTCGTTTTACCGAGTTTTCGCTGTGACGAATACCGCTCAGCAGTATCCCTATGGCGAGCTGGCCAAAGAAGGAGGAATTCTGTGTTCGTTGTACCGAGAAATTCGTTGTGATGGGTGTCGTTATAGCGAGCTCTTACTGTATTCAAGATATGCGCTGATAGAGCGCTGATCACTCGTCCACCCCTCAAAGGGAAGTATCCGACATGATGAGCGAGTTGAGAGTTGAAGCTTAGCTGAAATATTAGTCTCCCCGAGACTAGAAGAAGCCAGGATTTGTATCCTTATAAGCAGTCTAGAGCGAATACTGAAAAATCGTCCAATCAGAGTCAAAGCCTCATTAAACCTCACAGAGCGCCTCAATGCAGCTTCCTTGGGACTCGTGACTCCCGAAATGCTTCCAATACGCGGCTTGGCGGCTTGGGTCTATCATATTGTGAGGACGAGATTAGCGCGGGTAATCAGATCTACGGATTTAGCTAGACTTCGGACATGTCACCATGTCAGACAACTTCCGCCGAGCGGTCCGTCTATGCATCGCCGTTGAAAGAGATCACGAGGAGGCATCGATGCATGGGCGAGGAAAAGATGTAAGTCGAAGGTGCAGATGTGCAGAGTAAATTCATTCGAGTAGATAGCGATCCGAGAGACGGTCGCACAAACGTGACCGTCTCGAGTATACGCTCCAAAGTGCTCATAAGGATACAATTTTCTAGGGCAGTGGTTCTCAACCTTTATTGTGCGGCGGAACTTCCGTGAAAGTCCTGCCGGAACCCCTCAAGGGTTCCGCGGGACTGCCGGCGGGGAGCGGTCCGCCCCGGGCGGCACTTTTTCCGGGAGTTTTGGGGGCGGCATTTCGGGGCTCGGCGTTGAAAAAAACAGGGGGTTTTCGGGGAAAAAATTCAGGGAGGGGCGGCATTTCATAGACCGCGTTTAAAAACTAGGGAAATTCCGAATTACCGCCCCCGGCGGCAGTCCGGCAAGGTACGCCACTGCTCGTAACGCGTCATGAAACCTTTCGTCTTCCTATATCACGATCGACTGGTGCTCAATGAGAGCGTTGATGCTGGATTTCTACAGCGATTCCACAAAAATCGGGTATTCGGTCACAAAGTTGAACTCTCATGTCATCCTCGCGTCTAATCGATTTCGGTAGTTCGTTTTGGTCGCAGCGTACGGCATTTTCAAGAATCGCGAGCCCCGCAGGAGACTTCATATAACCATATTTTTAAAATGACCAACATGATAATCGGGCGCCTGATTAATAAGGAAACCCCTCGCGGAACCCAGGGGTTCCGCGGGAAAAACCGCCACGGAACCCCGAAAACCTTCCCGCGGAACCCCGGTTGAGAACCACTGTTCTAGGGTTCTTCTGGTCTCGGTTCGACTAACATTTCAGCCAAGTTTCAGCTCTCGACTCGCTCATCATGTCGGCTACTTCCCGACAGTGCCGCTGTAAGCGATTAAAGATAAGACGACTACCCACTCGTTGGAACCTCCTCCTCGACGGTGTTCGTCCTCGAGCCCCAGCCGTCATCAGGCTCCAGGAAATCATCGTCGATGCAGAGGACGACGACTTTCTTTCCGTCTCTGAAGAACGTCATTCGGAATGCCTTTTTTAAAAAAAAGCGTTTTCCACGCTCTTGAGCGAAAGGGTCCCGTTCCGTGTCTTCGGGATGAACAACTCTTCGCCCTGGGGTGACCTCAAGCAGACGGGGTCTTCTTGATTGGAGCCTACAGGAGAGAAATAGTATAGAATAGAATAGAAGGACGTTCTTCTACGAGAATTCCGCGAAATACGTTGTATCATAAGTTCGATGTTGAAAATCCTTCAAAGGCGACCAAACCTCTCAGCTCGATCGACTCCACTCAGGCGCGTATCCAGGATTTTTCTTGGGGGGGGGCACACGATGACTGCGGCCCCGAAAATTCGGGAATCGGTTCCAGAAGGCGACAGAGGTAGTATGAAACAAATATTTTTGGGGGAGGGGGCATTGGGGGCCAATGCCCCCCCCCCCTGAATACGCGCCTGACTCCACTGCGTCTTGAAAATCGCTGGATTTTCCGCTCCTATTGTGCTCCTTGATTTGCGAACGAAAACGATGAAAACCACAACCACAACCTCGAGGCTCGAGCTACCCTCGTGCACAGAGAGGAGGCCGGTCTGCGCGCCATTTTCAAATGGGCAAGCGGGTCCTGGATGCTCCTGCTGACTGTTCGTGATTTAGAGCGGACGCTCACCGATCAGGAGAGGATCAGAGAGATCAGAACCCATAGCAAAGGTGCCAGAGTCGATGAAGATTTGCGGGAGCGAAATCTCTTCTCCGGAAGCTTCTACCGGATCTAGATTTCATTTCAGGAGGCAATCCAAATATCACAGCGATGATGATGCGCGCGCTCATAATGATGACGATGATGCGCGGCGGTAGTGGACACAGAGTGGACTACATTATTAGGGCGCGGAGCGAATGCCGCTGAGAGTTGACAGAAAAAAATTCTGAGGTTGACAACCCAGGCCGATAGTACCCTCCATTATCGCCGCATAATGCTCCACCACTACCGTGGAAAGCTCAGTGCGGCCAAAGCGACCCGCAGTATATGCATTCGCTATATTTATGGACCCTAAACACTTACAGAACGAGTGGTTCAGAAATGGTTTGCTCGCTTTCGTGACGAAAACTTTGACCTCGAAGATGCGAAACGGTGAGGTCTTCAGTTCAGTTCAGGTCAAACGGTGGATACAGACAAAATCATGAGAGTTGTGAACTCTCATCGACACCTGGTGCTCCTTGAAATCGTGGACGCCATCAACGTATCCCATCAGGGTGTTGCTGGTCATCCGCCGGCCCAAATATTCTCAGTTTCACTCTGAAAACCGAACGAACTCATTTGAGGACCTAATACATGGTGCAATCTTATACATATAATGCAATGGATCGCTTGATCCGTCATCTGATGGCCTCATGTCAAGGCGTTTCCTGTAGATTCCAGCATCAGTTTGAAAATCAATCTCATGCATGTTGCTATACAATTAATTCAAAGAACGAGGCAGTCCGATCGTGCTCGAGGTTTACGACGATTCCCTAGCGCCAATGTCCATGATCAGGCTCAATCTTGAAATTCGGAGCAAGCTCGAGAGAGATCCTGAGACGCCGGAATATGTAAATCCTCTCTGTCTCGGTGAGGATTTTCCATGAAGTCCTGGAGCGGCTCGTCGGAGAGAGTTTCTCGTCACGGACTTCAGCGATCCTCTCCTCATACCATCCGGAGTTCAGGGGTCAAACACATGGACAAGCGCGATACTTTCAAACTCTGTCGGCTTCGAGGCGCCATGGTGAGCTCCAACGTGATACATACTCTCTCAACTCGGAGAGAGAGATCGCGCGCGCCAATTACCGCATATCCGACGGATTGACGCGCCGCGAAGGAGAAGGGCTTCGTCTCAGTACCTACCTACCTACCAATTCCTTTTCTCTGTTTCTTCTCAAAATTTCTCTGTCCATCTGGCTAAGTCCCCAAGAATAAATTGGAATTTGAACCTACCTACCTACCTACCTACCTACCTACCTACCTACCTACCTACCTACCTACCTACCAGAAAATGCCGAGTAACGTCGAGATCAAAGCTCGAGTGACGGGGTTCGCGGTGTTTCACGCCCTCTTCAAACAGGTTTTCGCTCCAGAGGTACTACTTGGAACTCTCTCAAGTCTTTCGAATCTTATACTCACGGCGAGACAACAAGAGGATATGGAGGATGGCGCCGGAATCGCGCATCACATCGTCTCGATTTGATCAATGAAGACCATAATTTCTCCTCTCCCTCAGGTCCTGGAGCACAAGATTCTTCGGCACTGCGATACTTACTTCAAATGTGAAAGCGGCCGGTTGAAACTGAGAGAGATCACTATGAACGACGAATCCACAGCTGAGCTCATCTTCTACTCTCGGTCAGTTCTCAAACGACAATCATCATCAGATCTCGTTCGTTCAGGGATTCGAGCATCGTCTGATAGAATTTTACGTTTTGGACATCAAGGACCGACTCTGCTGGGCCCAAACTCAGTGACTTCGTGAAATACGACTGCACGGGAACGAGTTCACAGCTGAAGGAGCTCCTCGTGCGAGCAAACGGGCTAAGGGGAGTCGTGAATAAGACGCGTCATCTTTATATCGTTGGTCAGACTCGGGTCCACATCGATCAGGTTGGGTCGGAATCGGTGTTGCGCTGAGCATATTTCCTCCACGGGCTTCTATCCCCCCGGAAATCCCCGTGAGAGACCGTGACTTCAACCGATATACCCCCATTCTTCAGGTCGAAGGACTCGGGGATTTCATGGAGCTCGAAGTCATGATGAAAGACGGGCAGCCCGTCGCGGAAGGCACCGCGATCGCTCAGGAGTTCATGGAGAAATTAAAAGTGGCGCCCGATTCGCTCATCGAAGGCAGCTACATAGATTTCTTGGCCCCAAGGGAATGAGACGCAAGGAGAGAGCGTCCTGAGAACTTTCAGGTGTACGCCATCGTTAGAATCCCCTGTGGGCAAAATCAGGGCGTCTCTCGCGAGGGTCTCCCCCTAGTCTCTCTGGGAGAGAATATCCGCGGGATTCCGATCCACTCCTGGAAGCGCCGAGTTCATTATATTTCTAATAAAATATAACGCAATAATCATTGTTTGTCAAGATTATTCGGTACATCTGTTCCAAAGCTGAGGCGTTTCGGAAATATGGCTCTATTTCGTTATATGGGCACGTCTATGATGGCGTTCTCTTGCTGACCGTCTATCGGACCCTCTGGTGGCGTCTCACATCTCAAACTTGTTCCAGAGCACGGGAAACCCGGATTCCGACTCGGAAAGCTACACCACCCAAAAAGCCTCAGAGACAGGCGTGAAGTGTTGTTTTATTTACATAAGACTCATTATCGGATGCACACGGCTCAAACAGGTTCCTCTTTGAGCTCACTATCGTCATGGTTGTCCGTATCTTCGTCCCCTTCATCACAGCTGGAATCGTCCTCATCTGATTCCTCGTAGGTAGTTTGTACTCGATTGGTATTGACGAATATCTCCTCCTCTTCAACTTCATCGTCATTGTCTCCAGATCCATTCCTCGTTTCGCTCCCGTCGCAGAAGCCATCGGGCCAGAGACCTTCCTCCTTGATGTATTTGATTTGTTGCTTGTACAGAATTGATATAATTTCTGCTTTAACCTTGTCGCCTTCCTCAATAGGCTCAATGACGACGAAATCTCCGCGTTTGACCCAGACATTCCTGCGGAACTTGACCGGCATCGATACGAGGAATTTATCACCTGTGTCGTTGACTACTTCGTGAAGATTGTTCCCACGACCCGCGAACACTTTGACAATCACCTGATGCGGCTCAGGCAGAACGAAGTCTTCCAAAACTTCGCGGTGCACATATTTCACCTGCAAGACGCGCAATAAGATCAGTCCCGACAGCCTTGATCTGGAATCTCCGCAGGGAAAATGTTTGGGTTCTCCAAGCCGAAGGCGGAATCGTTGACACAATGCCAGAAACAGCTGTTATTTCCCGAGGTGCAGGCGCATCGTGACATTTTCGAGAATCGATAGTTTTCCGGGAAGAACCTCAAACAGCCGCTCACCTTAGTTGCTTTCGACATTTTGCATCCTTTCAGTAGCCGCGCAGCTCACGATCTCTGTGATATCAAATATATTTTCGCTATAGGGAATCGCTCAGACATGCCAGTACGAATGAGGAGCACGAAAACGCATGGATAAACATTTCGAACACTCGCTTCGAGGCGCAGCATTTGTGGGAGAGGGGTCGGAAAGGGAAAGAGAGTTGATGAGAAGATTCTTCTTGGGGATCGTTCAGGGATAGGAGCGATTGGAACAACCCGCTTGATGAAATTATACCACAAGAAGTTGAGCCGAAACAGTTCCGACTAGAAAGAAGGATTTGCCTCGATTCCGTTGAAAGCTTAAAGCCTATGTAGCGAATTTGAGGTGCCACAGGGAAGTACCACGTTCGGCGCGCATTTCCGCCGATCGCCGATCATCATTCGGAATTTTCCGCGTGAGGAACATCGGCCGCACGAAGTCAAACAGCATGGTAGACGCCCCGGTACACGCGAATCTGGAAGGTATTTTAGACCAGGGGTGGCCAACTTGGGTGAGCTGGGGGACCCCCTGACCGGGTGAGCTGGAGTCGGCGGACCCCCTATTTCTCATAATGCACTTTTTGGCAAGCTTCGAATGCGAGGTTCGACGTTCAACTCGACGTGTTTGTCAGCAATGTCTGCAGACTTGATATTCTCGCTGCAAACCTGCAGCGTTTAGTCACTCCCAGACAGTCCATGATTATTCATCATATTTTCCATTGGGGAATCTGACTCCGAATCTGACTCAGGCACCCCGTCGCGGACCCCCGAAAATCTTGCTGCGGACCCCCAGGGGTCCGCGGACCCCCACTTGGCCACCCCTGTTTTAGACGACAAATATCTCGGTCGATATGTTCTGCCCGTAGTTCCGTGCTCGGCGCTGATTAATTAGTTATCCCTGCGCAAGTGGTACCGCATCTGACTCCCTGAAGGAATGTTTCAATTTTTGCGGATGTCACCAAGGACAAGGGTTTTCTGCGTTTCCTGAAAGATGCACCGGCGGTGAGTACAGAGATTGAGGATTGAGGAGTCGAAAGTTTTTTTCGTGCGACGTTGCGAGATATGAATCAGGAGCGGATCGCCCGTGTTCCCCTACTCAATCCGCCCGTTGTCCGAGGCTTTCTCTCCCTCTGGAGCGGCCCCGAGGCAGGACATGAATTCGATTTCGGAGCCGGTCCTCGAGTCCGAGAGCGGATTTCCGCGGAAATTTCGCTTCTCCGGATCTCGAATATCCCAAATTCCGACGATGCTCCCCCCGTTGATTGGTGGTACGTTCTCGGTATGAGAGCGGGACCAGGCGAATAGTAAATAAAGCTAATGAGAAAGGGTAAGCGAGCTATGCCGATGTTGTTGTGAGTGGTGGGTGGTGGAGGAGATAAGGTTGCGAAATTCGAAAGAGCAAGCATGAGCGTTCGTCGGTCGCGCTCATAGCTGCTAGAGATCTGTGCTCCGTCTCGTGTGACATTCGGAGTGCTATGGGTCGCGTGCGTCTGAGATGTTCCTGTTCCTAGTGTTGGTTTGCGCTCAGCTCTTGCTGAGCGGCAGCTGTTTGCGACTGCAGGGCAGCTTCAACAGCTCGGATTTCGTCAAACTCGTCGCAAAGTTTGGCTTCGAAAAAACCGAGAACCACGATCACGTGAACACCCTCGGCTACATCTACGGGAACCTTACGAGCTCTAGCAGAAACTTGACTCATAAGGGGACCCTTGTTGTTGTGGAACGTGAACACTTCTTGGATCTGTGGGGAAACCGGACTCGACTGAAGAATGCTTGCAGTGCCATGTTCAATCAGTTGCAGCGAGACGCATTCGATCGATACTGCAATGTCAACGGTACTCAGGACTTCCTCAGAAGTTTTCCTTGTCCTAGAGGACAGCTGTGCGAAGAAGAAGACACTCCATCTCGCGTTCTCAGATCAAGCCAGTTCACGTACACTGTCAGAGATATACATACGCCTCGCTTCTGGTACGTGACGCTGGTCTCGTGCTACCGAGATCCCAAGAATTGTACCTGGCACAACTCGAACGGGGATACCTTCATCGTGGACTACGATATCCACCTGGTCAACGGACATCCTCACGAATCGACAGCGTTCGATGATGAGTTCTCATTCGAGGAACAGGGTTCGCTGCAGAGAACGTGTATATTTTTCTTCCTGTATTTCACCCTGGTTGCCATGCAGTGCCATCTCCGCTTTCGCGACGATCAACGACACCCTTTGACACGGATATTATTCATGGCGATATTGCTGCAATTCGTATCGCATCTCGCTACACTGCTCCATAGTATCCTGTTCGCATCCAATGGCCAAGGTCTGCCAGACCTCAAAGCCTTCGGCGAAATCGCTTACATCTTCGCGCAATCTTTCTTCATCGTTCTGATCTTGGTTATAAGCAGAGGATACGCAATCACTCGATCCGAAATCGCTGGGAAAAGGGTTTTGATTTTCCTTTGGATCGCATACTTGATCGCTCATCTGGTGCTCTATGTATGGGTCAATACGGAGATCGACCCGATCAAAGAAATCGACGAGTATGAAACGTATCCCGGCTGTCTCGTCCTCGGATTCAGGATGGCTCTGATGCTGTTCATGCTCCGCGAGCTCCGTTCCACCATGCACTTGGAGAACAATACTCGAAAACTACGCTTTTACCTTCATTTGGGTGCCGGACTTCTGTGCTGGTTTATCTATCTACCGATACTCGCTATTGTTGCGTCACAAGTTTCTTCGCTCTGGAAACAGAACCTCATCCGTGGGATTATGGCGTGTGCGGATTTTCTAGCTTATGCTGTCGTGACCCATGTTCTTTGGCCCGCGGAAAGCCACGACTATCTTCAGCTGCAGATGGTTTTCGAAGAATTCGATGACTACCGGGAATTCCGGAAATAATAATTGGAGAGACACAACAGTCTTGGCCTCATTGTCAGAATCGAGCAGGGCTTTTTTGACTCTCGAGGAATCGTATATGGAAAAGAAGTCTTAATAATGTATTGAGAATGAGGTGATTTTTATGACCGCGTCAATTCAGGCGATTCTGATCGCAACTGATGTCCTTGCCGGGAAAAAATTCCTGCAATGAGCGAACAGATCTTCCTTGTGTAAACCCTTTGTACAAATGTCCCAGTCAATGAGGGATCTCCGAAGCGAATCACGGAATCCTGACTGAGGCCCCGCAATCGCGTCATTTTGCGAGCGCATGTTTTTGTAAATGAGATGTTACGAACTTGAGGTTGAATTGAAATAAATTTTGTTGTGGCATGATTCGGTGCTCCATGCTCCCTCAGCTTAGAGGCTTGGTATTTCATTGGGTCTTGTAAACCGCGCCAGAACGTTCCATCTCTACGGCGCGGTGGTCCCTCGAGTAGGGACTATTTACCGAGTTTCAATCAACAAGGGCATCCCGGGTAGGCACTCTCAACTCTCAAAAAAGTACTCTCTCGTGTAACTATCGGGTCGCTCGCGAGGGTTAGAGATCTTGACATCCATCAGATTGACGTCCGTTGACGTCGGTCAGATTACAGAGATATATGTGTGTAGGAAAACTCCTAGACTAGACGATATCTATTCAGCCATCTAGCCATCTATCACGACTGCCGCGTGGTCCTATTCGTGAAATTTCGAAAAATGTCTGGAATGCACCCATCATCCATTTCAGAAATCGGCGACCACAGTCCGCTTCTACGACAGGAAGGTAAGCGCCGAGCGTCTCATCCAAACTTAGTGCATCTGATGCTATTGAGAGGTCGGGTAGCGTGATCTCTCTTCGGAATCCCTTGCAGACTTATTTCTCTGTTCATTTGGACGATGCAACACTGGCCTCGAAATGTTTGCTGAAGGTCTCCATCAAGAACATCCAGGGTATACCATCGGCATGGATCGGTCAGAGTAATTATGAGAGATTTCTCAAAGAGCTGCTCCTTGTCAAGGCCTATCGCGTGGGAATTTATGCGGAGGTGAGGGATATCTACTCTAAGGAAGCTCCGATCCATGTAGAGACTTGGCTCGAATCATCGAAATAGACAGCCCTTGCCGTGGGTGGACAGATGTTCTGCGAAAACTCCGCCGTAGCAGCTCATTGATTATTAATCATATGAATACCCTTTGTTCGGGGAACTAGGCCCCGTTGATGATTCGAATGATGTGTGCATGCTGAACCGATTTGATCGCTCGCAGGTCTCCGATGGATGGGAAATGGTCAAATCCGCTTCGCCTGGGAACCTTGTGGAACTCGAGGATGTCTTGTTCGCGACCAATGGTCCACAGTTGATTGTTTCGTCCCACCGAAACGGAATCGCTTCCTTACAATTCACGCCTCAGAGTGAGAACGTTCTGATTGGCCTTGCTTTCTGCGATCCGGTGTTACAGTGTTTGAAAGTGACACAGATTCTAGACAATACGATGCTGACAAAGCTCCAGGTGGGTGAGCCGAGCTGACGGAGCGGAGATTTCCAAGCCACGAATTGCTCTCTCGACGAGAGGGCCAGAGACCGAAAGGTCGAACTCAACAGTAGATCGAGATATCATTACAGGTCCCCTGATTCAAATCAGTCCCAAGGAGATGGTCATTCCGACGAAAATGGATGACAAACTACACAAGCTCCTCAAGAGGAATAATATCACATTTTACGAAGTCGCAGCAGATCATTTCAATGACAAGAATCTGGAGCAAGACTTGGAGAAAATATACAAGTTCGGGAAGAAACAGGCGAAGAATATACAGATACTCCGTGAGTTCATTCGATCCCTAACCACCGTACCAGTGAGAATTTCGATTGAGTTCCAATGCGTTCTTATCTTGACTCGGGAGTGGATATCAAAAGAAGCTCTATTTCATCTGCCTCGCAGCGGAACTCCAGGTCCAGCACAAGGTCGGAAACCCCTCGCGGCGCTCCTGAAATTCCTGAATCTCGCCTCGTCGCCAAGCTCGTTCTCCCAGTTCTCTCTGCAAGAGCTCAAACCAGACACCCTGATGAGATTAGACGCCGCAGCTGTGCATGCGTTGCATCTGTTACCAGTGAATGAACTCGCGGAGGAAGACACGATTTACGGCATTTTGTGCCAAGCTAGAACAGCTGGAGGGCAGCGCCTGCTTTCCGAGTGAATCAAACAACCTCTGATCGATCCTGTTAGAATCGGTGTGTTGAACTGGGATGGGAATTCCCAGGGATGCATAATATATAATTGGATTCCAGGCTCCAAGTCATCGAACCCCCCTCCCTTTCACCTTTGAATTCTCCAGGGGAACGTTTGAATATCGTGGAGTTTTTTGTGAACTCCAATGAAGTTCGCCATTTTTTGCACGGAGACTTCCTGAGGCGATTCCCCGATCTGCACATCTTGGCGAAAAAACTTCATGAGAAGAAAGTCCTTCTGAACGACCTCTACAAACTTTACACTATAGGTCAGCTTACCGAACAAGCCTCGGATCTCCGGGGACCAACAATTCTTTTCTTCGCGACCTGAAGTGGCGCGGACTACGGATCCGCCTCGAGTTTTACAAACTATTCATACATGAATTTCAGTCCGGTCGCTCACTCCTGAGCTGACGGCCTTGCCGCAGGGAGAATGTGCTTCCCTCGACGATTTGATCGTCAAGTCCTTACAGGGCCTGACGAAAGATTTCGACAAGTATGTGGATATGATTGAGCAAGTTATCGATATCGAGAGGGCCGAGAGCAAAATGGAGTTCCTCGTGATGCCGTCGTTCGATAATTTCACTTGCAAACGAGCGTCTGGTACTCTTTCGTGATTCATAACAAACAATCAGAGATGGAATCGAAAATTAATGTGAGGAATGTCTTCGTCAGGAGATCAATGACCGCATAGTAGATTGCGAAAAAGAAGCCGAAAAACTATTGACGAAAGCTGCTCAAACATTGAGCACCGAGGAAGGCAAAGTGATCAAACTGGACTACGCGACAGACGGAGGATTCGTCTTCAGAGTCAGCAAAAAGGTTAGGGAACTCTTCTTCATCATTCCCTAGCCCCAGATGGCTCTATGAATATTTGAGTGTCCGGGAGTTGGTGTCCTGCTCCGACTAATCACAAGGCTCCTCTCTCGAATAGGAATACAACCGAATCAAGACCCAGCGGGCATTCGATATTACCGACGTGAAGAAGAACGGGGTTTCGTTCTCGAGTGGGAAACTTCACGACCTGAACTCCGAATACGTCGCCGCAAAATCTGACTACAAGACGATGCAGGAAACTTTAGTGAGCGATATCGTTGAAGTCGCGTCGGGATATTCGGATCCATCAGCTCGCCGATAATATAAGCCATCTGGATGCTTTGGTCGGCTTGGCTGTCGCGGCAGTTGATGGTAATTATGTGAGACCGAAGGTGAGTTCCATGCGGGGGTCCAAGAAACAAGTACGGAGACCTATCTGGGGTCGCCATTCGCTCAAAATCTAGTGCCACCGGAGATTGACCGTCAAAGTGTTCCCAGATCATCGAAATGTCGGGAGGAGAAATAAAGCTGGAGAACGTTCGCCATCCGATTGTGGCTAAGAAGCAATCGCAATACGTGCCGAGTGATGCTCATTTCACCAACGATGACCGAAGATTCCAAATCCTCACTGGCCCGAACATGGGCGGTGAATCCACTTTCATGAGAGCCGTGAGTACTTCATGCTGGAATAAGTGAGCGCCGGCGCCGGCGAACTCGAGCTTATAGCATAGGGTCGCAGAATGTCGACATAAATATCGGTGCCTTCTAACGATTTCTGATCTTAGGTCGCTACAACCGTGGTCATGGCTCAAATAGGTTCCTTCGTGCCTTGCGACGAAGCGACGATATCTGTGCGAGACGCAATTCTGACGCGCGTTGGGGCAGGGGACGAAATTGTCAGAGGTAAAAAGAAATTGCTCTTGGAGGAAATTCTTCTGTAACTTTTTTATTCTACATGGATTCGGAGCTTTGTACAGTGAAATCCGAATCAGAAACCACCATCTCCAAGATGAGACCGCGTGGGGTCTGAGGAGACGAATTCCTTGCACCGATTCAATCACCTCTAATTGTGAAGTGATTGTGCAATGTGGAAATGTCGCATTCGATATTTTTCCTAACATTCTATTGCGAGAATTCTTCAAAAGTAATCGAACGAGGATGGGAAAACTTTTGAGCTTTGTGCGTTGAACGTAGAAATATCCTTGTTTCGTTCGTATCTCTCGCTCTGTATTTAGTCCATCATTGCAGGGGTATCCACATTCATGGCCGAAATGCTCGAAACTGCCTTCATTATGAAATCAGCCACCGAAAACTCTCTCATCGTGATCGACGAGTTGGGCAGGGGGACCTCTACATACGACGGCCTGGGATTAGCTTGGGCGATTTCCAAGTAAGTACCTATTTACAGTAAGGGCTGTGCTCTTCTCGATTCCTCTTCCGAAACGAAAATTCAGGCGAAGCAGCCGGAGGACGATCGGAAAAATGAGCAGGACCGCTCTCAGCGAGGTCTCTCCCCGGCTTGCAAGCAGCGCAGTCGGACACGGAGCCGTGTCCGAAACTTATCTTGATACACTTCAATAACGAGATTGAATGATATCCCACGGCAAAACAGTATTACGCTCGAGCTCCGATTCGATCGGGCACCTCGAATTCATCGTCTGGAGTGTTTGGATTCAAGTTTCCTTCTCGATTGCTGCGATCCATGCTTCTCCTTACTTTCGCTTACAGCATATGAGTCAGATTCACGACTCTCATCAGCGAGCTTCTCGGTGGATCTGCTTCGTGACCTCTTCCTTCGCCTGTGATTCGAAGATGATTCGCCCCGCGATTCATTGAGACGGGAACGATGGGCTTCTTTCTTTTCGAGGGCTCTCCGAATGTCATTCTCAAGGAGACTAGGAGACTAGGACAGACTGATTCTCTTTCGGATTTTCACTCCAATGTTGAAAAACTCGCCTATAGGAGACTTGAAAATTCGCTTGTGAGAGACTCGTAGCGAGTCCCCGTCCGATAGAATCTCCTGTTAGGGGATTCGCCTTTCAGAGACTGCTCAGAGTATTTCCGGACGAATCTCTCTGATTTCGACTCTTTGTGAGGCCTTTCGGGCGCGCCTCAGTAGAATGCGCGTGGCACATGTGAGTCTTTCAAGTGTGACGACTTAGACCAGGCGAGCCGAACGATACTCTTTTAGGTTCACATCATGGAACACCTCCAGGCGATACTTAGCGACAGTTTCGTGAAGGAATTCGCAGTCGACGCCGCGCTCAGAGGTGATTGGGGAAAGTACAAGGATTGCGGTGAAATCTTGAAGCGTACAACGCGCTGCTCCTGCCATCTCAGGGGGTGAGATGAGAGGGATCTGCGGAGCGACCCGTCCCCAAATCCCCAATCCCTGCGACGATATAGTCCCGATCGGGGAGGAACCGCACATTTTTACCGAGATCAAGGAGCGTGTATCGCAAAGCATCGGTAAGCTCGGCGGACAAAGACAGCTTGGCTCAGGTGTGATGCAGGAAGCAGATTGCCCTCACTACGTATCCTTCCTATGCTTCGGCTCTACCTCTTCGGCTGTCATTGGCATAGAAATAGGAATTAAGAACTTGCGAGCCCTCCACTACCTGATGAAGAGAATGGAACCCGAGGCTGGCCCTCAGCCATCGCCCCTTACCGAGACCGGCTCCTCCTCTGGTCTTTCCTCATTTCTTGACTCAGCAAGGAAACGAGCGGATCCTCATCGGTGCCTGAATGAGACGATCCCTCTACTTTCCTGAGCCCGAGGGCGCTCCACGGTCGTCGCTGTTTTTTCCTCGTGAAAGAAGACGAATGTATTGGGGCACCGTCAGGTCGATGCCTCGCTAATTTTCCATATTTTTTTCACCCCAGTGCTCGATATTCTCTCTTCACTGTACTCTCGACCTTGATGTCGGGGGCAGGATTTGGTTAGAGGCCGTTCCAGGCTCTGTGAGCTCCTTCCCATCCCGAGGATTTGAGAGGGTCTTCTGACGCGAACCTGGAAGACTTTTTTCTGACGGAACTCCATGAAAAGAAATCCAACTACTCCCGAGCGTGCTCTTCCGGACAGATTGGAACCTAATTCGAGTTCCTCAGCGATCCCGCAAAGGTCGATCGTTGACAAAGGTCTCCTTGATTGAAGGCTAATGATTGAGCTTTACCACAATGCTTTCATCGAAAGCATCTCCCGTCTACTGTTTTCAGGACGCGATTCCGGGGGATCCTCTGGACGCGAGACTGGAATACGAGACGGAAACATGTCTAGTCTCATGGCTTCGAATTCCATCCTGTAACGACCAGATTGGTGCGTTCCGCTTCTAACACTCCCGGCGGCGAAATAGACGAGACTCCGCGGCACGGAGGACGAGGTGCCTCAGGAAGACAAATTAAAGTAAGAATTTTCCGAAATCGTCATGATGAGGCGAATCTATACATCGATTGCATGTTGCCTACAAAACGGGCTCTAACGGTGAATTTTGATTCGGACAGAACCATGATACATATGAATCTTCGGTAGAGCTGGCACTAATAGCTATTACATCGGTGGCCGATGGTGCCTCTGTCTTATTGTTCAGTCATTCCAGAGAATTCTTCTGTTCATCCAACCTCTCTGCCGGAGAGCGTCGTGATCAGGGCGGTTGCTCAGGCTATTCGTGACCGGTTTCCGAGACGAGAGACGGGGGTTTTCAATCACCGGATAAATATGAGAGTCCTTAGCTCGAGCCTAAATTGCCTTTCAGATGGACGGGGATCAATGGACAAAAGAAGAGAATATCAGTGATTCATGTCTGTTATCACTGCGTTGCTGCACCCTCTGATCTCGGCGAGGCGCCGTGAATTAAGCGGACAGCGCTTTCCGAAAGCAATTAGCACCACCTGCCCACCGCGAGATGAATGAAGCGTCTCGAACGCTCGGAACCTCGTTCTGATTGACTGATTGATGGATTGATTGCTCGATTGGCTGACTGCCACCTCGCGAATCGAAACAGCAAGACTTCATTGGAGTGGTCCAGACTCCGAGATTGGTCGTATTCGATGAGTCTCGAAGGTGGGCGCGTCTCCCAAAAGACTTCAGAAAGCGCGAGAAATGAACGAAGGAATCAGGAGGCTCCCACTCGACACGATTCCGCTCTAGCTTCCGAGAAAAATCATCAGCATCAATTCCCCCAATCGATCCGAAGGATTTATCTTCACCGATCTCCCCTCTCGGGGCATGTCCGGACGAATCGGTGTAAAGTTGTCATACAGCTCGTCTGCGCATCGAACAGGTACAGCCGTCCGAATCGAACCCCGTTATCGTTATTAATCGTTGTTCGAGAGTCGTGAGTCGTGAGCCTCGGATAGATCGCCTTTCACAATTCCGAAGGTCCGAGGATTAGGTTGAGTTTCCGGGTCCTGAGACCACTGTGATAGTTCGACGAGCGATGATCCTGAGGAAGGGGACCGAAAACCCTGCTGGTTCGAATCGTCTGCCCATGTGTATGTGTGGGCGCCGCCTTCCGTTCATATTTCATATCTATAGAGGTATAGAGTGCTCCCCCACCTCCGCTCGCGATAGAAGCATCACTCGGGTCACATGGTCGCCGTTACGGAAATGGGTATTCGATCCGCGATCTTCCCACTGGAACGATTATTCGCAGAAAAAAATCGATTTCCCTTCTCAGGCGGTTCAAAAACAACTCCTGCAGTATGTGAATACCGGACATCGGGGCGGATCTGTGGCAGGATTCACTTCTCGCCAAGCTTCTATGACTGGTGTTCGATCTGGCCGAGCTCAACATCAGACATCAGGTGATCAGTGGGCATACTGATTCTCTGAATTCCTGAACGGATCAGGGAGTTGCCGTGAGTTGAAGAGCAGAACATTATCCCGGTGGTCCCGTCGAACTAAATGGCAGCGATGGGCGACTCTCTGAATCTGGAGAGAGGTGAGTGATCCGATTGAATTTGTCCTTCTCCGCGAGACAAATTAGGAATTTTCGCCCTGAGCCCATTGAACGGCGAGGAATCGAAGAAGAGTCTAATCAACTGCGTCGTGTCTTGACTCCGATTCCGTTCGCCTTCATGATCATCTCTGGGATAACTCGATGAGTCCACTCTCACACTACCTGAAAACTTGGGCCACGTTGCGCGGGGATGAAGAAAAGAGACTTATGGAGGCTTTCGAATGTTTGCTACATGAAAATTCTCCTCTCAGACATCCATCGAGCTGTCGAATTGCTCCAGAAGCTCCAGCGTACCGGAGCCGGTGGTGAAAAGCTTGCCGCGCTGGAACAGGTGAGTGTAAGAAACCTAATAAGATCCATAATGAGCGAAAACATCCTTCAGGTAGACTGGATTTAGATCAATGCGTAAAGTGGCGCATAGATGGAAGTCCAGCGACAAAACTTGGGTCGATTTTTTCTGGGTCTCAGGTCTTGAGTTCGGAATTCTTGGCCGCCGTGCTCCAGGTCTACGAGCAAGTCTATCGGACCGCTGATATGGGTTCAGGTCCGGCGGCTTCGGCTGATATCAGAGCGAGTGCCACAGCGAAGGTATGTACTCCCCGGAAACCTCTGCCCCTTCATTCATTGTCGTTCTGAGAGAATCCTGCCAAGTCGCCCTCCTAGAAAAGATCGACTCTCTGCGTATAGGTCGATTTTCGACATAGTCCGCGCTTCAGCTTATGATTTCCATGAATGCTCTGGATGCCTGCGGTCAAACTTTACTATACTCCCACAGGCGACAGTCGCTGCTTTCGCGGCTTCCGAGGGCAGGGCACAGCCACGGGTGGTTCGACTTCCGAGAACCGAGGAGGGTCTAGGATTCAATGTCATGGGAGGGAAAGAGCAGAACTCGGCAATCTACATATCGAGGATCATACCAGGCGGTGAGGCGAACTCCCACACCTGGAAATAATTATTGAGAGCGACATAAAAATTACCCAGAGACTTCGAGTTCATTTATCTATAAGAACTTGGTCGGCCTTGCAGGTCTAGCAGAACGGCATGGAGGACTCAGGCGGGGCGATCAGCTCTTGGCGGTCAACGGGGTTTCGGTCGAAGGGGAGAATCACGAACGAGCCGTTGAACTTCTGAAGCAAGCACAGGGTACTGTGACTCTGGTCGTCAGATATGCGCCCCACATCCTCGAACAGATGGAAATGAGATTCGACCGACATCACAATAAGTGATTGTTTCACCGCCGATGAGGCATCTACGAATCTCCGTTGGGATGTTCGTGAGAATTGTGGCATCGAAGGAGCGCTGGGACTCTCTCCGGGCTCCGTTTCTCGACTAACCGTGACCAGGGCAGATAGAGATCTATTTGGAATCGGTCTTGTACATAGAGCTGTGACCCTCACGGAACAGGAAAGAATTTCCATGAATTGAATGCATACATGAATACTTATTGTTCTCAACAGTGCGAATCACTCGTCTCCTCAAGACTACCACGATTTTCGAGTCGTACTAAAGATCACTGATTTATGGATCGTCAGACACAGCACTCTAGCCGAATGCAGAAGCCATACTGTTAGCATGATGTGACATGTTGATGAATTGTCTTACAATATACACGATGCGATCAAGAGACCGAATGTTTTTCTTCCAACGTCCTACCTCGAGCAAATGCATTCATTTCAAGAGGGGTCTTTGGGGATTTCAATCCTCCAACCATCCATCCTCCCTCAAACGAGGTCTGTGACTGTCGAGCTCTGGAATTCCTTATTGAAGATCTTCAGAAGTCCTCATTTGAAGAGTCGTCGTCCTCATCGAGCAGATGACTCTCTACCATTTCCTCGACGAAGAATCGCTTCAGGGTCTCCTGGAGATTCTGGAAGCTTCTCGTGAAGCTCCTCCGCATGACCGCCGCACAATCGCCATCTCCATTCCCTCCGCTGACGCTGAAATTCACAGAGGAATCGGTCACACCAGTCAACTCCATCAGCATCGTCGCCCGGCTAATCTGGAGATTGGTCGGGCCAAGTTTCAGGACAAACGGCTTACCAAGAAGATTTACTGAGACTGCATCTGGAGCGGAAGAGAAGAGTATCTCGACGTATCTCGCTGATTCTCGAAAATTCTTAGAATGATTCGGAGAACACCTCTATCTGGTCTCTAGGCTCTTTTCTCGAATAGTTAAACCGTGACTCACTTGTGTGCGCAGCCAAAGGTTTCGTGGTATGGCTTCAAGTCGCCGAGTTGGATCGCGAGCTTCAACGCGAGGCCCGACCTCCCTTTCTGAACGATTTCCAGAATTGCTGAGAGATCGGCCACGATTCCCATCAACGTCTTCTGATTCGCCAACAGTTCCGATGTTGCATTGTGGATCTCACCTTCCCTCGAAACATTGCGACTTAGAACGAAAACTCCGGGAATCATTGATCAATATTCCCTGTCAGGCACCATCTCGCATCAGCTGAGCTGAAGAACGTTTCTTACCCATTTCGAGGTAGAACAGCGCTTCTTTCACTGGTTTGCTGTCTCGATCTGCGTATTTGAGGACACTGTCGAAGTAGGTCTTCTGGATTTTCTCCAGGCGCCTCAGCCATGCTTGAACAGGGCTCCAGTCGACGTCAAACGTCTGCCTGAGGCTTTTGATGAGGTTTTTGGCTTCGATGCCCGTGAATTTCTCGTCAAAGGTCATTTTTTCCGCGTTTTCTCTAACGATTTCCTGACAAGCATTGTCACACTCTTCCACGCTCCGCTGGATGGAAGCGTTAATCGCTAGAACTGTTTTCGTGATCAGATCCGTTCGGATCGGCTCCTCCGTCGCCGCCTGAGATTTTGTCCATCCCACGAGTACCATGAGGATGAGAGGGAGCTTCATTTTCAAATCAACACACAGCACGCTTGTTTGACACTCGTTCCGGAGCCAGCGCTATCTAGCGATGTGTCGAGTTACAAACCAAAGGAAAGCGTAAAGGCCAGTAAATCGGTTCCCTCGCTAAGAAAGCGAAAGGAGATCGTTTTGTGGGAGAAGGAGATATAGCGCGGGGGGATGTTTCGTGGCACGGCGGAGGCCCCAAGTGGAGAAAAGCGTCCTCGCCAGATCGCTCGATCGTCCTAGAAGATCCATCAAGAGATTCAAACGGGTGAAAAGGTCGTATTGAACTTGAGAATAAGTCAAGAATTATTGTACTAGAATGAGGCTTTATTACAGGAGCCGGCGTCACGGTAAAAAACTGTCATTCCTTCTGGAGCCAACATTCAGCCGCCAATCCTTCCGAGACTCTCACACATTGACCACTACTTGACGAATTTGTACTATAATCCTCGACGATTTCAATTCCGCAGTCTGTACCTACGCCTTCTCGTTGTACGTATAGAACGCATAGCCTATGATGCTATTGAAGAAGATAGAAGCTGATAGCCACCATGTGGTGAAGTTGAATATTCCCCTGAACAAGGCTGGCGTCAGAACTTGCTTCAGCCTCTGCAGCGAGAAAGGCAATCGATCGTCGATTTTTGGTACCGGCGTCGTCCCCGCTGCACCTGTCCAGCTGTAGTCACCGAGCGTTTTGAGGAGGAGGACTGAGAAAAGCAAGAGGACCGCGGGGGTCACGTATTGCACGGCTACCACGCACGAGTAGTTGAACACATTCGAAATTGTTTTCCGGAATTCAGAGATCCGAATACGCCCCGCCTCTTTCTGGAGACTATTGACTTTTTTCTGCGCCACGTTCATGTACGCCTGCAAATACTTGTTCAAAAGCCACAGACGCAGCATACACATGGTAACGATGACGATGATCCGGCTAGTATCGAATTGATCCGAAGTCAGGATCGGACCCGACATTCCACCGAAAACTCGAGATGTGAAATATTCCCTCGCGATTGGAGTGACCCACATGCTCAGGACGAGCAGTGGAAAAATGAAATTGAGGTGAACGAGCATCTTTCCGAGAGGTCCGACCGACTCGCTGCCGAGAAGGTCTCGGTGCATCTGGGCGAAGCGGATGCCCGGGAACACAAGGAGTGCCCCAATGATTCCAGCCCATGCCGCTAAGCTCAACTTGAAAATCAATTCCGAGGTGGGGCCTGCAGATTCCAAGGAAATCTCGCGGCTGAAATCCGTCACGGACGTTTTGAAACTATCATACGCGTCCCGCAGCTCGAATTCAAGCCATTTCTCATCCACGACCAAGATCAGCATGGCGATGAGCAGGTAGATGAGTCCGCAAACTAAACACATGGAGCGCTCCGCAGAAGTTTCGTCCGAGCGGAAGTAGATCTTCGCTAGGGAGACGAGGGTCCGGAGTGCGAAAAGGACGACCAGGAGGCACCAGAGCACGGACATATTCACTTCTGACAGATTTGGCCTCATGAAGAGATATATCTGCGAAAGGACAGCAGCGTTAAAAGCTCTAGGCGTGATATTCTTCTTCGGAACGATTCGATTCGTAATAGAAATTCTCATGATCCCTCTGATCCTCCGCTCACTTCAGTTATAATGTAGAACGTTGAAGTGTAGGCCATGAAGTCTAACAGCCACTGGTACTCGGGATAGAAATAGAGTTCTGCGAAATGATCAGCAGATATCGGAACGGTCTCCAGTGCAACGTCGACGTTTTTACTGATCTTGTAATCCGGTTCGGGACCCTGGAAAGCAAGATCAACATTGAGTGATGCGCGCTCTTGCCAGGGAACCAGAGAGCTCCATCCCATGTGGGCATAGTCGGACTCTTCCCGAAAGCGAAGTTCTCCCGGAATACCGCCAACTGGCTCACCTTTTTCTTCTGCTTCTTGTCTTCCTTGATACCTTCAGCAATCTTCAATTCGTTCACCGTTGGAGGCACATACGTGAATAGTCGGCGCCCAAGGAGCCAGCGAGCGAAGGAGAACTTGAAGGAAAGTTTGTGGAGAATGCAAGCCATGATCATGCTGATCACAATTTGACTCCCGAGGAGTGCCATGGCCGCGCATAGCCCGGGCGAAGAACTTCGCCTGTGGTTAGGTCTTCACGAGGAGTGATCTACTTTAGCAATGTGGAGTCATCGATGCGCGAAAACCTGCGTTGCCGTCTCCATGTCTTCTGAAAGCACCGCACTTTCGGGAACTTCGGAAGCCCGAACCACTTTCCCGTTTATTTGGTGAAGCTGCCCGGCGCCCTATATAGAACTCTGCCTATTATTCGTTGAGGACACAATATAGGTAGCCGGTGCCGGTGGTGCTAATACGGGCCTCTTTCCCCCAAAGTATCTCTCAGCTGAAAGAGAGGTGAGAGAAGTTGGAAGCTCTGCTGCCAGCGGCCGACACCAGAGAAGATCAGTGTCATCATTCCGAGTTGTTGTTTGTTTCCCTTCTCTTCTGAATCTGGGAGAGAGGTTCGAGTGTCTGGCGGCGGCTTTTGAAAACCTCGACCGTCGCGAGCGAGCGAGTCCTCCGGCCTGCGTCCCAAAAGAGCATATCTCCATTTTTCCAGATCGGATGAAACTCTCCTTTCGCTGCAGAGATTGTGCGTGTGGTTTCCAATCGGCGATAAGCAAAGAGTTACCTCGATATTTTGTTTCAGACGCCGCATTTTCGAAAGCTCGCGCCGTGTCAAAATAACACGACACCATGTTGATCCTGCCGCCGCCAACCACCGGCAACCGTGGTGCGCAGAGATATTTCTCGAATATCGCGCTCCGTGAGAGTCACCTGAGAGATATTCTGTGGATAGCAATTTTTACGAATATCGGTGTTCGCTACGGTCCCAGTGTGTTGCCTTCGCTAGACAATACCAGAACGCTCACGTCGCCAGGCACGTCGCCTAATAGAAGGCTCGGGAAGTCTTGAAGCTCACATAATACAAACGGCGAGCATGACGGAGAGGGAGGCACGTTTCGATCAAATCCTGCTGGCGTTGGCGGAACAGCACGAAGGTGGAGTACCAGATGTGAGTATCAACCCATTTCTCTGAGTGAATGGAGGAGACTGGCAAGCCGATGTCGCGGATCGTCATCATAAGTCGCTGCAGTTTCGGTATCGGATGAAACTTCGACAGTCTAGAGTCTAGACGGCCCCCAATTAATTATCGGGTTCTGACCGGAGGTCGACTGTTTCCAACGGCTAAAACTACTTCTTGATTCAACTTTCAGCTCCTGAGCACCATATTCAGTTTCTTGAGCAGGAAAACAGATTTCTATACCGGTGGGAAGCCCGGCGCCGCTAGGACAGTAAGTCGAAGATGATTCGTGCGATATGGACCGGAGCCGGAGTCCCCGGATCTCGGAAACAAACAAAAAGTCGATGATCTCATTCTTGTTTCGAGAGTCGAATTAGGGAGTCGAATCTAAGTCATCTATCATCGATAGCTGTTGCTGGAAAAGTTTTCGAAATTCGAGGAAAAGGCTCTTGCTGAACAGCGGAAGAAAGAGAAGGAGCTCGCTGAGAAGAAGGACCTTCTGAAAAAGACGCTCGAGGATGAAAAACGCCGCAGAGAGGAAGGAGCGTCCATTGAAGAAGTGACTGATGAGCAGTCTAAGCGAATTCAGGAAGAAATCGAAGAGGTTAGTTTTTCTCGATTTCCCGTCCTGGACGTGTGGTATCTCGAAGCACGGATATGCCCGGAGGTTTTCCCGCCGGGGAGCTCTCGGGTCGCTATCGCAGTCATCTCCCCTAATAGGATTATAGTAAGTATAGGATCGACTTATTAATATTCGAGCTTTCCTTTGCGTCGTTTAGGCGAAGCGAGCTCAGGAACAGAAAACCAAAGAGCTCAACGAGACCAAGTTGAAAGCTGAGGAAGCGAGAAAACTGAAGAAGAAGTCCGATGACGCTGATGGTGACGACGATGATGAGGAGCTCAAGGTGAGGAATTCGCTGCGCAGAAGGAGCCGTCTTCGAATAATCTTATCCGTTGCTGAGCCCTCTATCGTCGTGTTTCGTACGGATTCATAAAATCCGTAATACGCACGGCAAATTTATAACGAGAGTTCCAAAATTATAACGTTCTGAATCCCCAGAACGCGGGGAAAGTCATGCCGAATGAAAACAATGGCTGCGATCTCGAGTACTATTCTTGGGGACAGACTCTTCAAGAAATCGAACTGAAGGTGAACGCACCGAAAGGAATAAGTCTTCATAAGCGAGACATCATTGTGGAATTCTCCAAGAAGGTACGCTTCCTCTGCGGACCAGCTGAGAATCGCATGCTCATACGATCATGTCTCATATGATTTCTCTTCTTCCACGGCGACTATCATATCATTTTCCTCTGACGTTGCAGAAACTCAAGGTAGGCCTCAAAGGATTCCCCCTGATCATTGACGGTCAGCTGTATAATGAGATCAAAGTCGAGGATTGCTGCTGGGTCTTGGTAGACAACAGGATCGTCATCACAATGGAGAAGGTAATCGCGCGTAGACTGCGGAAGATCCGAGCTCGATAGCTTCGGATGCTTTTGCCAGGAGTCAGAAGTCAACTCCTGATTCCGAGTCACACTCATTATCAACCGAGCGGGCTGGTCACACGTATCTCTATTGCAGATAAATCAGATGGAATGGTGGCCCCATCTTGTCCTGACCGACCCTGTGATCCGCACCGATAAGGTCGATCCGGGATCTTCCAAATTGTCTGATCTCGACGGTGAAACTCGTGGCATGGTCGAGAAGATGATGTACGATCAACGGCAGAAAGCTATGGGCAAACCCACGTCGGACGAACAGAAGAAACAAGAAACTCTGAAGAAGTTCATGGAACAGCATCCTGAGCTGGATTTCAGCCAAGCCAAGTTTTCGTGAAATTCGCTGCCTTCAGCCCGATCGGATTCGGCATCCAGCATCGATGAGATCTTTTTTATTGGCTGCAACTTGAGCAGGAGGAGCTCCTCTCGTCGGACATCCGAAGCGTAGACGAGCTGAGAATTCGAGAGAGCTGTAAGAGATTTTATTTATCCTTCGAACGTTCGTCTGGGAGCGCCGTGGTGTCGTGACGGAGCGGACCCGACCCGCCTTCATTTGAATAAAACGAGACCGAGTGGAATGGAAAAAAATTTGAATGTGAACTCCATTCTCGAACGTGCTGATAAGGAGCTCCGCTGTGACTAGAATCGGTAGCAGTGATTGAGGGGTTTATGCTTGGCGAAAGAATTCAAGAACTCGCTTTACGATACGTTTCGTTTATTAGTCTCCGCTCTCGCTCGTGGCTCAGTCTCCAAATATATTAAACAGTTTTTGTACATCTAGATCCTCTCTCGGTATGTCGCAGAAAATTTCCTCCGCTCACGCGTCTCACACCCACACGCACATTCGTAGAAATGTGTGTTCACCATCGACGCCGTGAATTACAGCAGTCCACGTCAGGGGGTACCAAATGCTGTAGCGATGCCTCTCGTAGCGATATTGGGAGTGATTTCTCCTACGCTTCGGACTCTCGGGTCCGATCGGTGCACGCTATTCCTCCCCGAAAGTTTGAGCTCATCCCCCGCTCAAGTCGATAATCTCAGATCGAATACGTCGTGGAAGAGAGCTCTTGTAGTTCGGACCAAGGGAAGGTGTTCAGTGTTACATTGTTCCTTGCGCCCACTGGTTGAAGCTACGGGTGACCATGATTCGTTCCCTTTCAGTATTTACAGCTCAAGAAATAAAATAACTGAACGAAAGTGGAAACAAGTTGTTTGTCTAAAATGTCGCCACTGCGAGCGCACGTATGTAAGAGTTTTGGCTAAGATTGGCTTTTCAGCTATTACACACGGTTCCGCTGTTATTACTCAGACGGGTCCGTAGTTGATTCGTCAACCCGATCCTCTGTACACGCATCACATAGATCACTGCACCTGCATTATGTGGTCGTTGTCGCCAGGGCCGCCAACGTCGCCGCCTTCACCGATTCTCCGAGACCAGTCCGTTCCATTCGTGTCCATCGGCCATCAGACAACAACGAGCTCACACGTCAGTCGTATCTGTGCGCAGCTTCTGTTTGCTGGTCGATCCCTTGAACACGTGACTCAGGAAGCCTTTCGGTTCCTCGGGAATCGTCTGATGCTGCGGTTGGGACGCACAGCTGGCGGGGACGGTCTGCGGAGACGAGTCCCTGCTCACTGTACTGGCAGCCGAGGACTGGAACGAAACCGACATCCCGCTGTCGAGGGATCCTGCACTTCCCCGTCGAACGGGTTTGGGCAGAGGCGGCTCGTTGAGGTCCAGCAAGGAGTTCGACAATGCCGAGCCCTTAGCTTTGCGTGAGTCTGCCGGCGAACCGGCAGCTTGGCCTGCGTTGTCGTCGTCCGTGGCGACTCCACTGTCCCGATTCTCTGCCTGGTTCGACCATGATGAAGACTGCTTCTCAAGTTCGGCCTCAATCCGTAAGGCTTCCATCTCGTCCATTTCGAGAATGGACTCGCGAAGGTCGTCGCAGAACTTGCCTCGGTCGTGTTCGTTGCGGGCATTCAACGTGATCTCGACCTTGCCGTCGACACGTTGCGAGAGGGAGATTCCGAACGGATAGTGCGGCGTTGAAAACAGCGTCACGTTCAGTCCAACGAGGGGCACGCTCTGACGGAACGTGTATGTAATGGCTCCTTTCTTCTTGCTTGCAATCTTCGTAATGAGCAACAGATCGTTGAAGAGGAAAACTTCGCGCTGATGTAGTCCAGCCTTCTCCTTCTTCTGGATATCGTAGACCTCGTACAGTCTACAGTAACACACTAGTCGTCGATGTGGAAGAACCAGGTTTGGCTTTTTGGCGCCCACAATCGTCTCCTGAACTTTCTGGACCTGCGTTACGTGGTCGCTCCCCGGTCGGAAGGCTTCTTTCTTGATTCGTTCATAAATACCAGCCAGCGTGGCGCGGTCCACATTTTCGAAACCATCGACACCTCGGAGATTTTTAATGTAGTCGTCGACCTTCATGCGGCGGTGCTCTGCTAATGACGGATTGTGCAAATCTACGTTGAGAATTACTATTGAGAACGCGACCACCATAATGTTGTCGGGGTTTTTGAAGAATTGCGCCACCAGATCCGGATTACAAACGGCGTAGTGCACAGAGAACATTTGTATGACGTGATCTACTTTTTGGGCCTCCCCCTGGAAATGGGAAAAAGAAATCCTTTAGATATTTTTGTCGCGCGTTTTTTTATCGTCGATGGACAGCTCCCACTATAGATGATTCAATGACTATGGGCATGATAGCAAGCTCGTATGAGGGTCTGGGGAAGTTTGGGGCGAGGCTCGCCCGGAACTTACAGGCATCTGGAAGTAGGACTGGAATTTACGCAAGGCGACATCGACTTGCATTCCGGATAGATCCATTTCTCGTACGAAACACTCGAGAACTTGAGCAGCGAACGGGTTCTGTCTGTCCCCGAGGTATTCGCCAATTTTGTTTTTGCTGAGTCCCTTGCGAGTCATCAAGAACTTCGCCACGGCCTCTGGAGTGCCCTCGAGGAAGTTCTTGTCGATGAGGTAGCGGATTCCTCGTTCGGGTTTCTTGTTGAAGAGATTCAAGCCGACTCGGTAGTGCCTCTTGCGCTCGATCTCCTTGGGCTTATTCTCGGGAGGATTGAAGTTCGAGATCTCCTGGGGAGATGCGAGCGGATTCGATTGCGACGGATACATCAGCAGAGCGTCGGCACCGGCGTTACTCGTCGAGTATCCTGGGGTGGCGTCGCAGGCGTCTTCAGAGATGTTCGACAATCGTTTTTCGTCGTGTTCCTCGTTGCCCCACAACGGCGAGTGCGAATGGTGCGAGTGGAGGTCGGACGATGAGCCATGCGAGCTGACCGAAGTCTCGAGAACTAGCGATGTTTCCGATCCTGTGGACTCGCAACGCGACGCTCTCAAGCCCGACATCGGAGAGAGGTTTCTCTGCATCGAACACGTTCTCTTGGGGACCTGTGAAAGGATTAGGCGTGAGACTTCCCCGAACTTTCGCCATTTTTGGATCTCTAAAGGCTTTGGAATTCGATGAATTGTAATAAATGACGATGGCAAGCATGAGCCAGGTGAATTTCCCCCGTCACCAGAGCCGAGCACCGGTCACGGATAAGACAGGGATGCACTGTTTTCAGAAAGAAAAATCGAGCGAAAGTTCGACGTATTTGGTCGTGAGAACAGCAGTCGCTCGTTCGCTCCCCTGTGAAATGTCAGCCAAAATGGAGCGCGAAGCGCCGTCACAGCCCGTCGAATGGCTGATCATCACCATTTGAAAGCCAAATATCAAGGGTAGAGACGGAAACGTGAGCGGAAGCATATCTTTCCCCTTTTTCGACGCTGATATACGAGGCATGCGTTTCAAAGAAACCTCTCGTCGGTACCGCACCGCGAACGGAAGGGGGCTCACAAGGAAGACCGCGTGTTATCGGCAATGATAAAGCGATCGAACAAGGCACGGCTCGAGAGCAGCAGGGACAAAGCATCCATCAACGGATTGATGGGACGAAAATCGGATCGGAGCGAGATTCCACGCTTGACTATTCCGGAACTACCACGCGAGATATTTTCGTTATGAGCCATATCGTAAGGATTTTCACGAACCTGGGGTGGCATTTTCTTCCTGTGGAGGGACCCGACGCTCTGCGAAGCAAAACCATTTCTGTCGAGTCCTCCTTGAATAGACGCCATCGGCTCCTCGAGAGATCCCTGCAACGATGAGAGAGCGAATCTTAATCACAGCACGTTACCAACGACACACGATGTCATTAAGAAGTTCGGCTAGACTATGTTTCATCTCATGCGCATGATTGTCAGACCGCAACGAACGGAAAAACTTCTGACCGATTGAGAGAGAGCTCGTGCCCACTACCGATATGAAAATCAATGTGTATCGATCATTGTATTCGTATTGAGCCTCATCTAGCGGAGATATAATCGGCGAGGACGCGAACGGATCGATCTCGGCAGAGGAGTCTCTGAGAGGAGCGTTTCCGTAGAGGTGTATCGAATGTTATAAATATTCCATGGCGTCTGTCAGCAATAACCACTCAAGGAGACCGCGTCCGGAAAATATTCCCAGGAGGAGTCGCTTCGGCATCATGCTATACTCTTTCTCATGCGCCGTCCATCAAATTGAAACAACATCCGAGAAGGTCGAGATACTCCATGGAGAAGTAAGAGAATCATTATCATCGTTTGAAGATAAAAATGGAAGGCCATCCGAGCGTGAGGTGACCAGTACGAGCCTCAGGTAGAGCTGAGTTCCCCTCGACGGACAAGTAATAATCCGCTACAAATCAATCGGCTCGTTGCCGATGGATGTCCGAGCATGATCTGGTGGTCGTTCTCGGCGTGAATTAGGAAGGGTCCTTCTCGGCGTGAATTCCTGAACGATCTACCGACTCGGGGGCCTTGCCTACGGTAAGCAGCCTCTTGCAACATGAACATAATGAGAGGCAGGCACCGATAGACTCAGACACGGTCGTAAGAGACACACACGCAAGCAAATCAACCGATGGTACGTGTTTCCGTTTCATGGATTCTGAATGAGAAAACCGGTGAGCGACCGCTACCATTCCCAGAAGAACGCTGCATCTAGCTCCAAAGGTCACTAATACTCTACGGCGACCGTCATCTGGATCGGGTGACATCCCGCGCGACCATCGATACAACGGACCATCTCATGTTACGGATACCTTCTCCAGAGAATGTCGTCTCGTGCTGACCACATGTATACTACGGAAGATCGGTCTCATCCGACGATCGTGGTTATTTTGGGTTTCGAAGCGAGAAGCCAAGCGTTCCGAGCGCTCATAGAGCTTTTTGAGATTTTTTTTAATCGAGGGCATTCGTCGGCGCGCAGGATAATCTGCAGAAATCGACGGATCATGATCTCTCACTTTGTCTGACGTCAATGATGCGGATCCGCGTCAGAACAAGGCGCCGTTTCCGAATGACGGTGTATGGGAGGCCAGCTGAAGTTCGAGCGGCGCGTGCCGCATACGGGGCGCAGATGTTTTTGGGTCCGCTCCCAAAGTCAGGACCGGTAGCTCGATATGGGAGCTAGCAGCATTCACAGCAAAGGCGACACATCGGTTTGGAAAATCCTAAGGACCACTGAGCTGGTACGATGGCACACATGGATTCGTGACGTGACAACGTTCGGAACTTCACGCGGCTTCCAGTAAGACTCTCGTAGCCGGCTAACGAGGAGACTTACGGAAGCTTCAGAGCTATCAATCAGGACTCATTACGGGAAGGGCCCCATGACTCACCGAAGATCTCGTCCAATGTAAGGCTACTCCCAACATATCTGTTGGCCGAAGAACTATTCAGTCAAAGATCCGCGCATCGTCACAGAACAACTGAATGGCATGGCGAACCGTCACCGATTTCCCTAGCTCGGAACCAATTGAATCCTACTTGGGAAGCCGAGCGTCACAAACATCCAACAGCCAACTCTGCGAACAACTAAGCTGTTTGGCTCTTGGGCCTCGACTGAGCGATCTCGCTCGTGGAGCACCAGATGGAGAGAGAGCTGAACGGCTCGCGGCTGCTGTGACTACAGCGGCCGATGATCGTCGCGCTGGTGATGGTAGTTGCCGTAGACCGTAGAGCTTACTCAGAGCTATCATAGTGCCGACATGAGAGGGAGATATCTTCGATCGGAATCTCGACCCCGTGGTCGGCGGTCTCACCACCTGCCCTCTCCCACTATAATTATTTGCAGGACTGGAAACCTGAATTCCAACTTGGCCCGAAATTGCTTCCGCCAAACACGTTCGTCTGAACTCTCCGGTGCGATACTGGAATTCCGCGTTTCAAAGTCAGTCAAGGAAATTCAGCGTTCGAGGAATGGGAATGAATCGCAGAGCATGGTAGGTACATCCTCATACGAAAACTTCCACCCGACGCCGACGCAACATTCAGGCTCGCGAAATTCAATGCGGTTTCTTCGATGCAGCCCTAGTTGCGGCAGTTCGTGGAGCAGAGCAGGAACAATCGTAGCGGAAATCAGCTTGCAGGAGTCAGTATGCGGTCGTGGAGTCCCGCTGGACCTCGAATTGATATCATATCCCTTATTGGGAATTTCTCGCAAAGGCTCAGGGATCGCAGAAGCCCGGGGAACGGCCTCTCGGGCTGGATACAGAGTCAAGTCAAAACTACTCAAGTCCAGACTCGCAAACATTCTTAAGACCCTCCGGGCCATATGCCCCCAAACGGCATTCAGAACCGCTTCTGCTCTCGGATGCTAGCCGCTTCACAATACAACCGGGCATTCCGATGCGGCATTGAACTCTGAATGCGCGCGAAAATCGAAGATCCTCTAAAAAACAGTTTCGGCGGAATGCTGTGAGACCAACGGTCAGCAGGTCCTCTTGCATGTGGTTTTCTGATTCGTCGAGCTCCGCGGGACCGGATCTTGATTATCAGCTCAGGTTAAAAGATCCGATATTGGTCAACAATTTCCGCATAATAACTGACTGAGACCGAAAATGCTCGAACAGCTGTCGCGCGGATTCAGGGAGACCAGTCGGACTTGTGAATATTCGAGAGTAGTCAATGATTCGAACTTCCACTCCCGCTTTCCTCTCCGAAAGTCCTACGATCTTTTTCTCCGAATTCGAGCTAAAATCCCAGCTCGCCGGAACTCTCGATAAGCGTCATTTCATTTGGATCAGTCCTGGCAGATCAGTCTTTTTCGGATGCGCGAGAATGGGATGAGTCAGTCGAACAAATCGATGAATTGTTCTCGTGTCCACCTGATTGGCTGATCAAAAGCCCGGCGCTGTCATTGATAGAAAGGAAGAGTGACACCGATACGCTGCGGGATGGTGACCCATTGAGGGCATGGCAGAAGCTTCCTTCCTGCCCGTCCGTAGTGAATCCAATCTTCCCCATCGGCGGATTTTCGGCGTTTAGGCAGAGCTTACGCTACCCACCGGGGAGCCAGCGGGGGACGGGGATTATCTCCATTTGCCGCGCGATGGGACCCGTGCATCGAATCTCCCAGCGACAAGGCAATGCTCGAACTGATAATCTTGACTCGGATCTACTGGTTGAGATGAGTTTTCAGATATTCCACGATTCAACGACTATGGCAAGCTCGAGCAATTTGACTAAAGCCTTGAAGTCATCCGACTCCTGTGATTCCAATGGTCGGAACTCAACTTCTCGCCAAGATGAATTGTGATCATATCGAGAATATGCGCTTTCTGATGAGAAGATACGGTTTCGCTCGAGCGATTGAGCGAGTTTTACTCAAAGGTCGAGGCAGCTAGCAACAGGGAGGGGAGAGCTACACCCGTGAGTGAGTCACTCAAGAGGAAATCAGGAGCGCATACATCACCCCGTACCGATCACTTGTTTCAGTTTCGTAGTCATGGGTGGACATGAAACTGAGCGGAGTTCTCGGCGGAAATGATCTAGTGGTTCTGCTAGAAGGCGGCGTTGCCCCCTCCCGCGGGGTTCGGTCTTCTAGGAATGAAATACTCACATAGGTCTCTTTACTAAAATTTGTTAGGAGTGCACGCCTCCCGCTTATCATGCTCCACCGGCTTTTCGGGAATCACTAAGATTTCGTCGGCCTACTCCCGACGCGATGCTCGTTCTCATTGGAATCAAAACACATTCTGCTTATTGATTCCGATCATACTGCACATCACCACCCAAGATGAATGGATGTATCTCGGATGTCCTCCGTGGCTCTGTTGCCCAGAATTCGTCGTCGAATTCCCGGGGAAGGAGACCATTCCGTCTTCCAAAGTTCATATGTCTCAAACGCATAGCGGTGAAAACGCCGGAGCTCCAGAGGAGAGTATGCGAAGGGTGGTGAACTCCATTTGAACACGTCATGATCGCGATTCTTTACCATCCGGAATTGAGCGCAAGCTTCAGATAGAGCTGATTCGTAAATCACGCCTGCCAGCGGAATCGTTGAGCTTAAGCCACGTACGGATTGGAATTCCGCAGAAGGGTCAAGGAGCTCACGCACAGCGTGTGTTCCACGAAGAGAGGTTTCCAGCTCAAAATAATTATCTCTTTCTCGGAACGATGCTCTAGCACTCGTTGCCGTTAATTGCACCGCCAAGGCTCAAATAGAGTTCTACTATTTAGTGTTAGTGTCGAGAAACTTACCGGGTTGAGCATAACCTCAGCTCCCATGCCTGGCGGCGGCAAAGTCGCGTTGGGCGCTACAGGAGTTTGATGCTGACTAGAGTAGGCCCATTGTTGATAGTACGGATTATTGGCCGTGTAATTGCCGCTGAAGTAGTTATGGTGATAGAAATGCTGATGATGAAGGCCGCCATCTGACAGAATTGAAGGCACCGCTCTCCGCGACAGCCTCCTGGCCGATCCGGTCAGTGAGCCCGAGAGCAAGCCGTCCTTGTTCGCTTGAGTCACTTGTTGGGTTATGTCCCGGAAACGTTTCTGCATCAAGTAACTCCTCCAGCCTCGCTGGATCGTCGTGGCTGCTCGCCGGGCCCTGAGACCTCCGTACTTCCGTTCCAGCATCTCGACCTGTTTGTCCAACAAATCCTGGGACATTTCGTAACCCTGTCCAGCATTGCATCTCCGTTTCACCAGATCGTCATCGATTCGGCGAATCTGTTGGATCGAGAGAGATATTGTTACTGATCCAGCTTCTAAATCCGCAAGCGAGGACATGAGCGAATATTTGCATGACTCGAGATCAAGTGAGATTACTCAATTAATGTGGATTTCCTGTTTTTTCATATGAAGTTGATAACTCACCAATCCATTTCGGTCGGTGCCTTTCGGTGTCTGGATTTGCAGAGCGCCCTGGCCCGAAGCAGAAGCGCTTCGATGTCTTCGGTGATCTCGATCTTCCTGCACATCCTTGAGGAGTCTGCGGGGCACTCCGAGACTCCCTCCGAGGTCCATCGGCGGACTCGGACCCACTCCATTGCTCTGATGGCTGCAATAAAATTGATCCGAGTTAGAGCAACTCAGCGCCCCTTCTATTATCGTTTCTAGGAACAATCGTCTTCAGAATCGACTTCAAATCGTTCCGCTCGGACAAGCCGAACGAGGGTCTACTCTTCAAAATTGAACTTCGGAATTCGAATGGGAGGGTCCGATGAGAAGACACCTTCGCTTCCTCCTATTTGTTTCTCAAGCCCACGGTGACACATTTTGTCGGAAAGCGGTGAGCGGCGGAGAACGATCATATTCGAAAGCACTGCGCGGTGAATGATCCGACGCCAATTACGCTTCCCAGTATAGCTCGATGGCACGACCGCCTCAAGCGGCGGTTAGCCTTGCTGGATCTTGTGGGAGACGTTTTCAAGGCGAGGAGAGGCTTTTCGTCGGATCGTCCACTCGACGTTTGAATAATTCAGCTCCGCGTTGAATGAAAAGGCGACCTGACGCCAAGCTCCGTTGACGAGTCCAATCTCTGGGTTCTCGATTCAGCGCCGCGGCTTTGTCTCTTTCACATGATTCTCCGCGTGAAGGCTGATCGAAAGAAAGCGAGAAGACTTTCGAAATGGCGTTTTTATAAATCATTCCGTTGAATATTATTCCGTCAAATCGGATATCGATCGGATCGAAATTCGAATGGATATCTCGGATATGACGGATGAATGGTCTTCTTGATGGGATTACTTTGTCTTTTGCTATCAAGGGTTTCTTTCGACCTTCGCGGTCCGATACAAAACCGACGTTTCGGTGAAGCCGCGATTCGGACTGTCCTATCGAGATAGGCGAACGGTAATTCGCGGTTCTTCTTATCACTCGCCGGGAAATTGAGAAAAAAACGCAGTGAGCCATGACGCGCGCGAACTTCTTTCGAAAGGGATGATTGTCGTACAAAATATTTTTCCAGAGTTTCATCCCTTGGATCGGATTGACACGACATCTGAGCGGTCGGCCTTCCCCGAATAGAAGCGCAACTTGAACGTCTCTGTCATTTGCTCGTTTCGCCAGTCGAAAGCTCAGCTCGCGGAACGCCAAATTCGTCGGTAGGATTGGGAGACCATTACCTGCCGGGTTTCCAGCCCACAAAATACAGCGGCGAATTTTGAGACTTGGGGGGAATGATTCGTCGTTGCGGATCACTTCCTCGTGCTATCAATCGCTTCCGCATTGGACTCGTTTCTACGAATCTCGCTAACGGAAAAAGCCTGTCGAGGGATGTTCCTGTGCGGTCTGAATATGGCACTCTTTCCTCGTGAGGGAGATGATTCCGATGCTACCCACGCAAGTCTGAGGTTCGAACCCGGAGTCCCAGTGCTCTCGAATTCGGTATTGATGTCCTGATCACATCAGGTTTGCTCAGATCATTGCTCTGGCCGTGATCGAGATTCCTACAGATCGATCGGGTCGAAGCTGAACGCTACAGCAGCGAATCGTTCCTTCCTCCTTCCGTTCTTCCTTTCGTGATGGCAATTAATTACGTAATGAGAAGAGGAGCGTCGTTTCCTGATAGCATCTCCGCGCTGCGTGACTTGACCCGACAGCGAAGTATATTTGCCC